TACACGGAGTATCAAAGATCGCAAAAGCTCGATCTACACCACGTAGAATATTCTGGATTATTTTGGTGGTGCTGGCATTTATAACTGCTACATTTCAAATTGTATCCGTTGTTAAGAAGTATGTCACATATCCAGTTGTTAAAGTTGTCAACAAATCAAGAAAGTCGCAGGTTGCTTTTCCAGCACTTACTTTATGTAACACCAATCCAACCTCAATGACGAAGATCAATCAAGTTATTTTAAACAACACCGATGTGCTGGCTTGGTTTCAATTCATACAAACTGCAAATGTTGGCGAAATAAAGACAAAACTCCAATCTCATCAAGCATTTTACGAAAATTTTCCCATGGTTGATATTGGGCACAGTTTTGATGACCTAGTTTTAAGCTGCCGGTTTAATAATGCAGACTGTGGAATGCAAAATTTTTCCAGCCATTTTGACGGGACAACCTATTTCAATTGTTTCACATTTACAGGAAGTACTAATCAAATGCAAGCAGGAATAGATCATGGTCTATCATTGATTCTCTCTACTGGAGACAGATCTCCTCAACAACCTGGCAGCTATGGAGTCTATGACATTACCAACCCTTCATCTTATGGGCTTGGTATACGTGCCCAGATTCATTCTCCCGACACACCTCCAATACCAATTTATCAAGGTTTTGATGTTCCATCAGGCTATTCACTGAATGTAGGACTGACAGCAAGTCTTCACACCACACTTCCTTTTCCTTATGGTGAATGCTCAACAAGCAAAAATCAGACAGACAAAAATGCTGTAATCATATGTTTACAACAATGTCAACAAGATATTCTGATTAAAAAATGCGGCTGCAAGACATCAGCTTTACCAGATGCTCACAACTCAAATGTTCCTTTCTGTTTGAACATTAAGAACTGGAGAAGTCAACCTGACCTCTTCCAAGGCAAAGATGAAGTTCACTTAGAAATGATTGAATGTGAAAGACAAGTTATGAAAGAAATAAATAAGGACAGAAGCTATGAAGATCGTTGTGAGTGTTATGAACCATGCAAGGAAACTTCGTATGATCAGTCTATTTCAATGTTATACTGGCCGGAGGAATTCTACCAATTCAGTCTCCTTGAAACATTGTCTATGAAGGCAAAACATTCGTCTGAACTAGTTAAAGAAGCCTTTGATACACTAAATTCAACTTTACAGAAGTATACTGATTATTTATCACAAGGTATTGAAGTTGAGTATGATATAAATGACCAAATAAAACTGGCAAGAGCATCAAAAATTATTCGTCAAAACTTCATGCGTCTGAATGTGTATTTTCAAGACTTGCGTGTTACTGAATATACCCAAATACCAACATACAGTATGGCCAGTTTATTGTCAGATATTGGCAGTGTAATGATTCTGTGGCTGGGATTCTCTATGCTTTCATTCATAGAAATGTTTGAGCTTATTATGGTACTCATAATGCATTTGTTCAAATCACACTTGTACATATTAGGAAATAAAAGTGGATGAACTTGTACACAGTAAAACATACCCATAAAATGGACTGAGTTTATCCCAGATATGGGAAATCTATTTTAAAAAGTTAATGAAAAAAAAAAGTAACTCAAATATATACATAATGCTGGGGAAAAAAGGAGCTGATCTTGTACATAATGTGGAAAATAAAAGTGGTTCAACTTGTACATGATGTCTGATTAAAATTAACTGACAAATGATAATTAGAAATGGAAAAACATTTGAAGAAATCAGAATCATGAACAGTATTCTAGCAATATTGTGCCTGTCCTTACCTGGGACTACTTTTACAGACATCTGAGGGATAGTGCCAAATAGTGTCATCACCAATTCAAAAGAATACTTTAAATTTTTTAGGTCACACAGACAGTGTTTACCCTTTACTTTGACACTTAAAAAAGTGGCTAATCTTTGCCACCAGTATACATACATAATATACATACATTCAAATATTGGGCCACATACCCAATGGAAAAAAAATCCTTTTTCTTTCCCTAATTCTCTGTTAGAAATTCAAATAATAAACTTTTGAAACTAAAATTGATGTTATACTTTTCTTTTCTGGAATACTGGTTGTTGAAAATAAAAAGAAAATTCTACATGGAAGAAAACTTGCATACAGTACACAATAGTATGTACATTAGAATGTCAAACACAATCTTTCATTTTTCCTACTCTTGACCAACCTAAAGTTTCATCTGTTGTCCCAAAACTAAATAATAGGCATGACTTAAAATAGGAAACTGGATAAACCCAGTTAAGAAATTTAGCTGGGTACATACAGTGTAACTTCTGAAAACCGAACACCTGTGGGACTAGCCAAAATGTTCGGAATTTGGAAGTTTCCGGAATTCAGAAGTTCTGAATAATCTTAATAGAAACATTATACTTTTATTATAAAAATATCTATAAAGCTTATTAAATTCATTAAATGACAAAATTATAGGAATTTTCAAAAGTTATAACTACAATGTGTATTAAATTTCATTATCATCCATTACTGAATTTGTTGATACAAAAGCATAATTTCATGTACCAGCTAATAAAAAACTATATTGTTTTGTTTTTCATAACAATATATACTTCCATTTTTTTTTTAGAGACTGTGCCACATTTATGACCTTGAATTATCCATTATTATTAGATTTCTTCAAATTCATTTCTTCAATTTATTTATATAAAAAAAACTACTTACTATAAATCAAGAATATAGCACATTTTCATTTGTCCACTCTGTAAAATTTAGTGGTGGGGTTTTGTCCACTCTAAAAAATTAAAGGTGGTGGGGTTTTAACTGGTGGGGTTTTGTCCTACATTCGTTGTGATTGTAATAGGTGTCAAGATAAATGATTTCTGCTAATTGGAAGATACTGTCATTTTAAAGGTTTTACAATCTCGTTTATAATATTCCTTCACACCTTTTTCAATTTCCGGATTTTGGAAGTAAATTTGAATTGTTTTAACCCAAATTTTACAGGAAAATTGTTCGGAATTCAGAATTTAGAAGTTCCGGAATTCAGAGGTATTTATTACATAGAAAACAGAAAAAGACATTTCGGGACCATGAAAAATGTTCGGATTTCAGAAGTTTCCGGATTTTAGAAGTTCCGGAATTCAGAAGTTACACAGTATATAAAGATGTATCTAATATAATATTTATAGCAACATTCAATGAAAATTCAATAATTTTACCTTTCAGGTCATAAATGAGACAAAGTCAATTTGAGTTTGATATACATTATAAAGGTCCTTTCTTAAAGACTGTGGTGTCTTTATAAGAAGTCAATTCATTCATTAAAAACAACAAAGTTAAAGCCAGTAACTGTTACAACAAAAAAAAGAGAAGAAAATTTCAGTGATTTGCCCTTCAAAGTCAAGGTTATTTAGGAGTGAAGGTCAAGGTCTGTCTGGTTAACTTAAAGTTCTATCCTAAAAGATTGTTGTGTTCACATTTGAAGAAATCCATTCAAAATTAACAAAGTGATAGCCACTAACAGCAGAAATCAAGCAAGGTCATTTATGAATGAAGGTCAAGTTTAGTCTGGTCTACTTCAAGGGGTTGTCCCAACAATTTGTTGTGGCAAAGTGTGGAGACAATACATAAAGAACATAGAAAGTTATGATCAATGTTAAAGTTTGCAGACAGCAATGGGACTACCGACATGGAAAAAAAAGTTGAGCTAAAAACAGGAAAGTTTTGTTGTTTCCATAATATTATGGTGGAATCTCAGAAGAACTGTTACAGAAATTTTCTGTTATTTAACATTCATGAAAACTTAGTGTAAACAGAATAAAATCTTCTTAAACAAAATATTATGCTGTTATTTAAAGTATGTATTAACCCATTACTTCATATACACGCCTTTTAACGCCTTTTTCACCCCCCCCCCCTTTTTTGTTGTCTCAAATGATGAAAAAATGCCTTATTTAGGCCCCAAACACTTGTTTTTGTTTGAGAAATGTTGTTAAAAAAAGTGACCTCTTTTTCGGCGCGGCCCCCCAACCAAAAGATACATCAGGGGGTTGCCAGAAGGGGGATGTGCCCCCTTCTGTTTGGGGGGGTTTGAAGGGGGGCGGAGTCCCCCTCATCGCCAAGAAAATTTTGGACTTGTGAGAGGCTGTAAATGACCCCAGATTGATCATAAGGTAACGTGTAACCAACGCTGAAAAGCATTTGACTCTATCTCAATCCATTGAGAAGTTGCAGCACTTTGAAATCAATTTTGATGGAAAAAATCAACGCAAAATAGTGATTTTTGCCAATTTTGAGATGTCCCCTCGTTGCCATGGTAACAGAAAATTTAAGCCTGAGCATGTTGTTGCAAGGGCAATGGTCCAGTCAACATTTGTGCCAAGTTTGATTAGTGTTGAAGCAGTTTTTATAGTATTATAGCAATTTGAACTTGTAACGGGAGACTTTTCAATGAAAACAGCCATTTTTCACAAAATGCTCATGAAGCAATGGGTTAATTAAAGTAGGCATTTGGCAATGGTTTCCAGCATGTGCTAAAATGGAAATATATCAACATATTTTTTTCATACAGGCATTTTGGATTTCTTCTTTTTCAAATTTCAAACAACAATTTTGTTACATTTAGTTAGCATAGATAAAGCTTTATACATGTACACTTTAAAGCAGCATGCTTCAAGATTCATGCTTATTTTCATGAAAATTTGGAAAATGTAGCCAAATAAAGTTATTTATACAATGCATACATCAAAGTCTTACAACCCACATATTACCAAAAAATGGTTAAAATATGCAAAAATGGCCCCTATTGCCTTAGTCACACAAGTCAGGAAGTAGAAATATGGTGATTGATATGCCAAATCAGTCAAAAATAATTAACCTAACATTATTTGAATCTTAAATGTTTTTTCTTTTCTTAACTAAAATACATTTGTCTCAAGTTTTATTTTCTTCATATATTTTGGCTCCTCTGGAGGCATGCAGCTTTAAATAATAATTGTAGAATTACTTTACAGTACCTTTGGCTCTACAGACATCATAGCAATATGATCATCTTCTAGCAATGGTTTGTGGGTAAACCTCTGTGATCCCTTTACCAGTGGACACTGTATCAAAGTACTTGCAGCAGCCGACCATTTTTCACTCACAGACTTTTTGATGAAGATACTGTGTTTTTGTACAACCTGTGAATATGTGACACAAAGATTGATGACTACATATTAAACGTACTATAAACAAATGCAGAGTAACATGTATGTGTGTTTACTAAACTCTTATTTTATGTTTGTTTATGTCTCCTCTATGTAGACACAAGGTCATAAAACATGTACACAGACATTCTTTATCAGGTTTATATGAGACATATACAAAACTTTTCATCATTTTCTAAAATATACTTGGAAAAGAATAAAATGGTTAAAATAAAGAGTTACAGCTAAATTGTTTAATTTGGTTCAATTAAATTCATCAAAATATTTAATTCATCTTTTTAAATATATCCCACTTATCAACACTGTTTAAAAAATAGGTATCAATTTCGAGTTTATTGGTGGACAATAATCAATGGTTCTAATGAAGATGTGCAGAAATACAATCACAATTTCGCAAAGGCTGGAAGGTAATTAGATAAAAAGCATTTAAATGACTGTACTGTAACACAAAAACAACATCTATTTTGATTTTTTAATATGCTGTCAGATCAATAGAAACAGAAACAAAAATCTATAGAAATATGATACCTACATTGAGCAGAGATGTAATTTTGTATAATGATCAAGTGATTTCTAAGTCTCTATAATAAGAGAGAAGTGTTAACAAGAGCTGTCAGAAGGACAGCGCGCTCGACTTTTTTAGTGCTTGCCTATAAAACAAAACTTTGACAGTTAAGGGCACACAAGACTTTAACTAGGAATTTCTAAGTACAAATCAAGAAACATTTTCACAGAGTTATCTTCTCTTGCTTACAGATAGGTCTCATGATGGCACATAAGAACTCCAACTTCCAAAGTAATATCTCAAATGGTTAAGTCAACAAGTGGACAAGAATGAAAATCTTAACTGAGTTTCTAAGTCAAAAAGGGCCATAATTCAAATAAAATCCTTAACAGAATTACCTTCTCCTGCCCATGTTTTTGGACCATGATGGTAAACAAGTATTCCAACTTTCAAATTAATATCTCAAACAGTTCAGTCAAAAAGTGGACTGGTACTAAAAACTTAACCAAGATTCTAAGTCGATAAAAGGCCTTAATTTTTAAAACAAATCCTTGACAGAGTTACCTTCTCTTGCGTACAGATGGGGGTAATGATGTGAAATAGCATTAAAAGTTTCAAAGCAATATCTCAAAGGGTTAAGGCAATAAGTGGATTTTACCCATATTCAATGTATTTTCTAAGTCAAAAAGGGGCATAATTCTGTCAAAAACCTTGACAGAGTTATGTCCTCTTGTCTGTTGATGAAGGTCGTGATGGTAAACAAGTATGGTCAGTTTCAAAGCAATACCTCCAATGGTTTTGAAATAAAGTGAGGTGGTACAAAAAACTTAACCAAGCTCAATACACTTTCTAAGTCAAAAAAGGGCCATAATTCTGTCAAAAACCTTGACAGAGTTATGTACTCTTGTCTGTAGATGGAGGTTATGATGGTGAACAAGTATGGTAAGTTTCAAAGCCATACTTGTAATACTTCTGAAATAAAGTGGGGTGGTACGAAAAACTTAACCAAGGTGTGACGCCAACGCTAACGCTAACGCCGACGCCGGGGCGAGTAGGATAGCTCCCCTTTTCATAGAAAAGTCGAGCTAAAAAGTGTTAGCATGTAACTCACTTATGCATTTTGATAAAAGTTGACTTTGAAAGGTGGAATAGGTCATGAAAGACATAAAAAAAAGAAAATATATATATATATTTCTAATTACCTGTCTTATTGTCTGCAGATACATCTTCCTCCTTCTACTACGACTCAACAACCTGACCACATATAATACAACATATCCTGCACTTAAAATCATACTTCAACAGCTCACACTATCTGTCAACTGAAAAAAATGTAAAGTTCAAATTTAAGAAACGGCACTGAATCAATAATCAATACTGAAACCTTGTTGAAAAGAAAAGATTTAAAGGTTAAATTGTCAATATTACAATTTCTATATTTTCATTTTTCAAGCAGCATTTTGTTAACATTGTTATGTAAGGAAACATTCACTAAAATTTTTAACAGATTAAATAGTTCAATCAACAAGATCTAAAGGCTTAAAATAGGGGAAGACTTAACATAACAGTTGTACATTTACCCTCATTTCCCATGACAACCACCATGATGGACTTACGGTATACTAAGGATGCTAATGAATATCTGATATTTGCATTTCTGTACAGTATACAGATACATGTATATATCTTTACAAGGCAAACCAGGATTTTCTCTAGGATTTTGGGAACATGACCCATACCCATGGATTGGGAATTTCTGCAATATTTTGTTAAATATTTGGGAAAAAAATGCATGACTGAAATTTTGCAATGATTAAATACTGTAAAGGATGGCATCTTCAAACAGTTAAGCACTATAACAGTGAAGAAGCCTTATTTTCAAAGATTTTAGAATTTCTTATTCAATATTTTTATTTTGTAACTTTCAATTGGGAATTTTTTCCTGAGGATTAGGAAATTAATATACTATAAGTATTATTCAATTGGGAATATGACCAAATATCTACTATAAAATAAGCCAAAAAAAACCTGAAACTAGTAGAGATGGAGACTATTAGCCTAATAATTAATTAATCATGCATGAATGGTTTGATCAACTTTTCAAACTGCTGTTTTCCTACTGTCAAACCATTAATTACGCTTAGTTTTTACTGTCAGCACTGAAAATTTAATGTCAACACTGTTGGTAGATTTTATTAATTTAAACTGTTAAAATCAGAAAACATTTTTCAGTTCTTATAAGTATTCAAACAATATATTTCATCTTACTAGTCTCAATCATAAAGTCATTCATTGGGAGTTCTATAAATGTATTTAATTGATTTATTTGTACTGCAATATATTTCTTTAGTAGATATTTATAATATCATCTGATAACATCAATTCCATATTATTATTTAACTGAAGAAATATCTATATGGTAATACCATAAATTTCGCCATTTTTTCCCTTAAATTGCGATCTATCGGTTGGAACATAGTCCTTCATTGAAAGACATTGCATTTTCTTTTTTTACAGTTTATTTTTTTATCGAAAAATGCAAAGTATTTCCCGGATTGGCTAAATTCCTATAGCACAAATCAGCATGTTTTTCGAGTTGATTTGAATTTACCAGTAAATCACAACTTAAATGTTACTTTTCACAAAAAGCTACTGATTGCATAAAAAACGGAAGCATATTTTCTCAAAAACTGTATAAACTTGCAAAAATTACTCACAATAAGTAGTTTATAATATTTATCCATATTATATTTAAGAAAACACATTTAAGACATTTTGTGTTGACCCCCAATACTGGAAATTCCCGATCACACTGTGAGGTCACTCAATAACACGAAATTAGTCTGAATAAAAAAAAAATTCTGTTGTGATTTAACGCTGACAGATGCAGGCAGTAAAAATTTCTTCTAAAAAATCTGGTTCCTGTAATCACCCCTATGGGTAGTAAACACCAATATGGAGGCTGTTTACATGATCTTTACACCGGATTATGTAAAAATGTTTTCAAACTTGAATAAGTTGTTTTTGAGAAGGGAAATACACATTTGTGGTAGGATTATGAATACCAAGCATTATTTGTAACATTGTACATGGGAAGTTTGATTGATTGTGCACATTTTGCTATATACTTTAAAATAGATATCTTTATATGTTAAAGCGGATTTGACCAATGTAAAAAGTAGCTTCAAATCTGCAGTTTACATCTAAATATTTGAACTAGGTCAGAACAATGACTAACTGGGCATTATTAGTGCATTAAAAAAATGCAGTTAAATGAGTTTGTGGCTGGACTTGGCGGAAAAAACATTGCCAGTCAAATAATGTATCTTGATGTCTTTTTGACAGATCTAACTAGCAGGACTAAGCAACAATATCTTTTGTGTTTTTATATCTTTATGGAGAGTCTACAATCATATATTCAGCTTGATAAATTTTAGATTAATTGTAACATATGTGTTTCATCTCACATGCGTGAAATTTATAGCGAGCTTGACGAGCTGGCCCGAAGGGCCTGCTTGCAAAGGGAGCTTTACGGTAACCCAAGTACCTGCTAGGTGTTGGTTTTGAAAACTTTTGTCCGAAGTATCGAATTGACACATCGCATCTTTTCGAATTACAAGATAACGATAAAGCCGATGAACTCTGATTGAAAACGGAAGCGTAGACTGGTGTCCCACTTATATCACTGTATATGGGAACCATAATAGAAAGGAGGAACCAGAATAAACGGAAGCAGTGTATAAAATACCGAATGACAATTATAAAACGGAAAATGTAAAATAAAAATGAACGATTATTTTAAACTATTTTACGGTAAAAGAAAATCGAGCTTGCTTTGAGGCTTTGCCTTTTTCATATTAACGCAGTCTGAATGATTAACATATGCAAAATACTTTTACAGTTTTAAAGGGGAATTGGCTAAGAAGATTTGTAAAAAAAAATAATCAGTTTAACATAGGCCGCGAAAACATATGCTAAAGGCATAAATAAGGTATTTTCAATAACCTCTTTGATTGCATATGAAAATCATGATAATATTTAACGAAGTTACAAAAACAAAACAGATGTCAATACTTATTAAATGACTTTAAAGAAGATATAATGTTAAGCTTTCTTACCGGAAGAAAACCATTAGAAACGGTGCAACGTGAAAATTATAGCCGTGTGACACCTGTCAAAAAATAGAAAACTAATTGCCAAAACGTTATAGTCGACAAAATAATCCAATTTGTTTCTAACAGCTTTAAATTCAATAACTCGTGTAAAATAACAAGAAATAGTACGTGTTTTGAAAATAAATGTGATTATTTTACAATTCGATAAAACATATTGCATATAAACTGGGTTACTGACTTGGTTCCTGCACAGGAACTTGAAATTCTATCACTATTAACGATATGCCAAATTTACCCCCTATATACTATAAAATTATAGTATATAGGGGGTATATTTTGCATATTATCGTAAATAGTGATAGAATTTCAAGTTCCTGCGGTTTCTGATACCAGCAGAAACAGTTGGACACTAGTCGAAAACACAAGATTACTGTGTCCACATTTTGAAGGATGATAGACATATTCATTAAAAAGAGGGATTTTAAATCCTCATATCAAACTAAATATGGAAAATAAAGTTAAACTCACAACACTTCAAAAAATCAAAATGAGAAATATTGCCAAAGAAACATATAACTGCATACTGTACATGTAATATGAATCCGTGACTGCACCGAATATCCTATCATCAAATATTTTTGAAATCTATAAAGGCAATTCAAGAATCTAAATCTACAAAATATGATTTCAGACGTAGCATGAACATCTACAAGTCAGGGGTTAGTATCTCGAAACTATCGTTATATTTGCGTTAACGAACGTGCTAACGATTGACAGAGGGTTGGCTAACGAGAGACTAGCGCGGGTATCTCGAAAGCAATAGTTAAGCAATCGTTCGTTGCTTACTCGTTAGTTATTAACGATTGTGTTGTGTTATCATTTGAATACATGTACCGCGAAAATTGTGTACAGCTCTTGTTTTTATCACAGGAGCTTGAAATTCTATCAATAATCGCTCAAAAGTCAGATCTAAAAAAAAATCCATACCTATATATAAAAAAAACACATAGGTATGGATTTTTTTTTAGATCTGACTTTTGAGCGATTATTGATAGAATTTCAAGCTCCTGTGGTTTTTATTCACCGAATCATTATTTTGCGTAGACGAAGGTGAATTGGAGCAGAAGGTTACGATCATGCTAAATCACACAATCACACGACACATGCAGGATCCGGTCTGTCGTCTAGCAATATAGACTTGTCTTGCGATGAAAATCCCGATTGCCTTGATAATATCAATTGTTGTAGTGGTAAACCTTCGAAAACGGTTCCTTTAAAAAAGAGAACAGTCATTGGAACTGCCCCTGTTGGGAGTTCCAATGAAACAGGCGTGATTCAATTGGGGGGAGGGGGCGGGAACTTAAAATAGAAACTAATATTGCCCTATATAAACCTGCCTCCCGGCTCGTGAAAATATGTGGCATTTTATCATGTTTCGTGAAAATATATTCCATATTTCACTCAAACGAAAAAATATCCTCTTAGTAACAAGTTTGAATTTATATTTTCTTGTGCAAAATTACACATTACAGAGTTTATTCCTTTCGCTGTTTAAGTTATGATATGCTTTTTTTTCATCCGCATTCAAATATAAGTCTTTAATTAAACTGTAAAGAACCTTTACATATGTTTGATATGTGAGAAGTTTGTTTGTTTGGATTTTTATGGCACGTCAACACACAACTGGCCATGTTATGTAAAACTTTGTAAATGACAATAAAAATGAGTCAATTAGATCCAACAATACAAGTTTATCTCTTTCAAATAGTCAATGGTATATTTATGTCGGTTCATCATTTTTTATCAATAAAATGATATAATTCTCATTTTTATGTACTTTTAAATCGCACCTTTCTTACTTTTGTGTCAAAGTGAAAGTAACGAGAGCCTAAAGACACCCTCTAGGCATCCGTTAATAATTGGGCATATTAACGATTATTCGTTAATTACGAGAGCGTCGAGATAGCGGTGAAAACCTTAACGAGAGGTATACGATAGTCGTTATCCTTACGATAGCTTCGAGATACTAACCCCTGCTGCAGGACAATAAAGTATGGCAAAAAAAAACAGCAACATGTATTTATGCTTGAGGCGGTGTGGGTGCAGAACAGTCAACAAAATTAAATACGAACTACAGACAAGTACCGATTTTGACTTGCCATAAATTTAAATGTGTCATGTATATATATTTATATAGTCTGAGTGCTTTTGAGTTGCATGTCAATCCAGATACATGTACTAGCTTATCACGTTCAGATGCTTTTTATGCTCGGTTTTTAACATGCTTGCGAATGCTTTTACGTTTGTTCAAGGATTCAATTTATGGAATTAAGATCCGTGATTTGATCAATTCTCTTTTATAGTGGTTTTTATTTTCTTAAATTTTCTTTTTTTCTATATTATGTTTGTCGGTTAATAGCTTCTTGCTTATGTTTCTTTGTTATATATGAATTGATGGTCACATCGTCATCATCGATATCATCACCATCTTTTTCTGTATACGAGGCTGTTATAGAAAAGCGATCCAGAGCTAGCGAGAAACCTTAACACCTTAAAAAGATACTAAAATATTGTGCAATATGTTCATGGTTTTGACGGTTATTACTTTAAAGGACATGAAATAATAATAATAATAAAAACTTAAGAAGCAGTAAATGTGCATAAAGTCAGCTCTTTGCGTAGCACCGGCTACATTTTAGGGATGAGTACTGCACAAGGTAGCTAGACTGTACAACTGGAAAATGAATATCTGTTAAAGTCATTTGATGATTATAAAAGATGATATGTTTTATGTAATGGTGTCTTGATTACCTGGTAAGTATGGCACTTAATGTTGATTAATAGTATATAATAATAATTTGTGAAACGAAACTCGCGCCTTCGCCTTCATCCTACAACTACATGTAGCCAGTTGGGAATATTTCCCGATCGTGAAAGTAGGAGTTTCCCCTTTTTCACTTTCCTAATCGGGAATTTCATGTTCGAAAATAAATAAATAAATAGATATATAAAATTGGTCAATAAATTTTTTGTAGGATTTTAGTATTTTGCACTGTCATTAAGTATATTATCGCTAAAAATTAAAACTATATGTCTAAGTAATGGAGACTACGCGAGTTCACACTTGTCATGTCTTTCAAAAAAGGTTAGTAAAAAAAAAGTAATTGTTATACATTTACATCAACTTTTAACCACTCAATAAGCGAGCATATAATCGTGTTTTCGTCTTCGGCTTTTAAGGGGCGAAGACACGAAATGTCAGAAGTCAGTGACCATACATTAATGCTAAGTTAACTCTTATGCCAAAATGAGACAACAAAACAGCAAACATACAATGAAGAACAACATCAAAGACCTTACTATAGTCCATAATGGGAACATTGTTTAGATCAAAATACTTAGAAAGGTCATGTATGAAATAAATTAATGATGGGTTTCATATTCATTAACGACTGGCCCGACAACCACGTTGTATTTCAGCAAAAATCGACTGTTTTACTCACCATGATATATATGCTTTAGCATTTTGTTTCATGAAAACACTTATAAATGAAATATAATTATTTTTTTACATACGTATGTTCATATAAAAATGACTCATCGAATAGTAATTGATTTTGCCTTTACGCTTTCTAGATTAATAAATTGGAAAGCTAATTTGTAAAGCAAAAGTCTTTAAATGAATTAAATGCTTCATTATAAGTAACCAAATATCCTATATCAGTGTCTCCAGTTATTGACGCTCAATCAAGCAGTATATGAATTATTGTTTCATAGTTAACGGCTCATATCATTTGAAATAAAGCTTAATATTTTAAACCAGTTACTTTATTCTTGTAAGTTATTATTATATTTGCGATGCAATTTCTCGAAAGTGTTTACTTAGTAAAGTAGAGAGGTTACACCAGTTTGAGGAAAACTCCGAGACGAGAAAAAAGGTGTCATAAAGGAGTAAGTTTTGGATAGTAAAGGAGATGCGTATAGGAATAATCTATAAGTTATCGACCTGTATAGGCAACAGTTTCTGAAATAATTGAATGTTTCTACAACACGAGATCTGAAGTATGGTCAAAAACATGTCGGATCGTTATGGAATCAAATATTCTCTAGAGAAGATGGCGGTGAAATATGTACCCCCAAAAATAGAGGAGTCTAAACCGAACCACCCCTGTACACCATGCTCTCGGGAACGAAAAGATGTCGAAGCCGTTAACTTTTGCACCGAGTGCAATGAAAAACTGTGTCATGCCTGTACAACACAGCATAAAAAGTTTCAAATCCTTAAGACACACAAAGTTGTCGGAGTTAAAGAAGCACCTGTACAGGAAGAACCCGTACATGAAAAGCAAAGACTGACTGAAACATGTGTTACCCATGCAAGTAAACTTGTCGATTTATATTGTACAACTCATGATGAAATCGGGTGCGCGGCGTGTATAGCAATCCACCACAAAGAGTGTCCTGAACCTGTTCATATCACAAAGCAGGCAAGAGGACTAACAAAATCTACTCTTCCAAAAGAAATTAGAGAAGAAATACTGAGAGTGAAAAAAGAATTGTTTATGCTAAAATTAAAGAGACAAGCTGACAAACGAACATTTACAAAAGAAAGAGACGAAATTCTAACTGTCATCGCGTCACTGAGAGCCCGATTGAATGAAATAATGGATAAAATAGAGGCAGATGCACGTGGAAATCTGAACCAGAAATTTGAAAACGATATGAAAGTGATTAAACATGATATACATAGCTGCGACGAAGCCAATAAAGCGCTCGAAGAAGCTTTGAAGAAGTTAAAAGCTGAAACAGATTCGCAGTTATTCGTGAATATTAAACGTGATGCTAAGAAAAGTTTAGACATGGGCGAGTCAGTAATTATATCTGTGACTGAACACTTAGGTCAAGAAACGGTACACTTCACTGTTGACGAAAGTCTGGAGGAGTGGATAGGTAGCCTCAGCACAATTGGGAAATTTGATCACGATCAAACGGCTTATAAGGGTGCGTTATTTGGAAAGTATGACTTGGATCAAAAGAATGATACAGACCACGATGAGTACGTATTCAATGGTTCATTAAACCTTCCGAACGGAAAGACGATATTTACTGACTGGAATAACAAACGATTGAAACTGATAGATAAAAGCTACAATTTGATGAGCCACTGTGACGTGCCAGGAAACCCGTACAGTGTGTGCTATATCAATGACAACATGGTGGCAGCGACTCTTCGAGATGAAAAGTTGGTGCAGTTTGTTAATGTTGCTGATACCAAATTAACTTTAGATAAACGGTTTAAAATCGACGAGTATTGTCGGGGTATCGCATACAAAAGTGATCAGCTTTACATAACAGTTGGCGGTGGTGAAGGTGAAATACACGGGCAGTTAAGGGTTTACTCTATGCACGGTGGCCTGCTAAGAATTTACGAAGAGGATGTACAAGGGAAACCGTTCTTTACCTCACCTGGATTTATTGTCATAAACGACGATGGATCGCGATTCCACGTAACAGATCACAAGAAGGGCGTGGTTACAATAACAAAAGATGGGCGTTTGGCATCCGTGTTTCATGACAAGTGCCTTAAAAATCCTCTAGGGCTATGCATGGACGGTAAAGGTAATCTTTTTGTGAGTGGACGGGATTCCAGTAATGTTATACAATTTACTGCTGATGGAAGAAAAATTGCGGAAGTTCTTTCAGAGACAGACGGAATAACGCAGCCACTTGCAATCTGCTGTCACGAGAGTATTAACACAAGACTGATAGTTAGCATGGAGAACAGTTTTACTGTAAAGGTCTTCACATTGCTAGAAAAATAACTATTATTGGTGTATTTCTTTTGTGAATCATCTAGACAAACCATTTATTGTGTAGCATAGATGTGGTATATGTATTTCTCCATGCAGCAAACTGCTGGTTGTAAATTTTCATTTTTGTTTGACCAACTTTATGATGAATAATTCCCTGTTTTTCGAATGACGTTTATTCCATATACCACTGTATTTATTACATTATGTCAATATACAGAACCCACATAGTGTACCGATCATTTATTTTCTTTAATTAATCCTAAATATTCTTGGGATAGTCTTGAAGCGTCTTGGGAGTAATTAGACCTTGGAGTAATTAGACCGAACGATCCTAATTGTGCTTTAGATTAAAATCATTGTAATTTTACGTGTTTTAACTGGCTTTCCTGCATAATAAACAGTAAGTACCAATTTCTCCACAAATGATCCAATGTCAACGGTAAGAGAGTATACACATATTTATTGTAACTGTCACTTTTAAACACCCAGTAGACTAGAGGCTAGTTAAAAATATATAGCTTGTCATTAACATGCAGATCTTCATTTCTGGAATTCAAACAGGAAAGTTTCAAATAAAGAAAATGTTCAATTTTCAAATCGTCATTTGCCCCTAGTTACAACCCAAGTATCAGATAGTGGAGAACGAAATAAAGCCAAAAATGTTTTATGGAACTTGACATCTAGACCACTACGGCGTGTTGTCAATGAGGCTTCTTCACCCATGTTGATACCCTCAGTCAATAGATAGCAAAAATAGTTTGGAATTATCATATGAACCACGAATATTCGGGTTAATGAATAAACAACAGAAGAGATAATGCAAAACAGGTTTATTATTATCATAATTGTGGATAACTCATTACTAATTTGCTACATGATAATAATAGTAATAAATGTACATATTCATAGAAACAATACAAAATATTCTGTACATTAAAAGCGGACATGTTTTTTATGATATGAATAACTAACATGGTTACAAAATATCCGTGACTGCTACTCATTTGCATATCATGACATACCTCATCTGCATAAAATTTCCTAATCTGCATAAAGTATGGTACACTCATTTGCATATTTAAGTGTAATTTCATTGAAATATTAAAATCTATATGAAGCAAATAATTTGGTTATTGTGTTTTCTTCATAAAAACATACGTATGCATGTACAATTAATACAGGTGCATTCAATTTCAAACATATAAAGAAACAAGCTTACTTAAGAGAGATGCCTAACCAGATACCTTTATATTTACATGCTTTTTAGAAAATTATTGTACCTGTACAATAAATCCACTCTAAAAGTAAGGTTTTCTGCATATGATGAACAGAAACAAATTAATAAATTATTGTACATAAATATATTGGCATAGTGACGATATTCCAGCAACTGCAGTTCCCAGAGCACATGTTTTGTCTGTACTAATGGGGTTAAAAGTCTAACAATCATAAACAGTTTCTTATCAATCCACCTACTTCAATTATATATACAAAAATTGCATGTCAAAATACTGGCATAAAATATTGAAAGAAATAATTCCTCATTTATCTACAAAAAAGGGGGGGGGGGTAAATTTATTATCTAAACACTTATCTTACACTGGGCAGTGTTTCCATTCACTATTTAAACCAGTTTAAAAACAAAATTTCAGGGGAAAAATATTTCTAAAATAATCCACAATAATCTTTCAGCAAAACTTTGTTTCCTTTGCACGAGAAAAACTGGTTATCTATATTAATTTTTGATTAATCTTTCACTTTATTCCCTTAAAAAATAACTTGAGATGACAATTTTTGACAATCCCTTCAGAGAATTGAAGGGAAAAATATGGACTAGTAAATACCAGAAAAAAATAAATCCATTGATAATAGCTCATCTTTTATACAAGCATTGCTCTTTCTAACAATTTCTCTTTTTCCTACAGCATAACCAAAGCATACATAAATGCACAATAGCATGCTTAGCAGAACTAAAAACAAAGCTCAACGAAAAATATGAAACGAAAAAAGCCAATTTAACTCCAATGCTAGCAAAAAGACAGCTATATGTTGTACACCATATAAAAGTACCATGTGTATGATAGCATGATCAAAAAGGATCATAAAGACAAGCTTTCATATACATGGAACAAACATCTGTATTGTTTTGTGAACATTTGTGCAAGCCTTAGATCCTACATGTCATCTAAGGGAGCTTACTCTCTCTGGGAAAAAAAAAATTATCTATCACTGTTAACATCTAAAAAGCTATTTTTTCTAGATAAAATTCTATTTTCTATTCAGTAGCCCACAATTATTATAAATTTGTTCAAATAGAAGTAACACCATGCACAAATATTGTTAACAATGACAGATATTCTTGTCAAGACAGTGCATGCAATGCCCTTGACAAGTTTAAAACAAACTGTGGCTTTGACTCAAAACATAGTTTAATCTCCAGGCATATGCATAAAGCATAGTCCTAGAAAAAACTCAAAAGTCAAAGTCAGAGTTTAAAAATCTCCACTACTACAAGCATTTCCAGGCTAATTCACTGTAGTGAAGCTGAGGTAAGGATTTTACTTGTTGAAGGCAACAGAGAACTTTTCAATGTGTCAGCTTTTTAGTGTTTGATTTCTAAGGTAACATGGTAACATAAGTAATTCAATGACTCCATTTACAAATAATATAACACGTAAGAAGCATTGGTCCATTTCTGATGCAATAATTTAAATCCTTACCATCTTTTCTGTTTTAACCAACTCTGTGTGACTCTTTGAAAAAAACATGCAACCAATTTATAACTCATAAACGAGAGTTATAATTGAGTTAAATTAATTAGTGATATTTTACAAAAGTTTTATGCGGGAACTTGTACATTATATGTCACTGCAATACAAAACCTAGGTCCATCATGTCACCTAAGACAATTGCTTATCTTGTGAAAACAATTAATGCACAACAATTTTCAAAGTTTGTTCATACCATTAATATGTAAATTCACTTTTGAAATTTAAAAAAAAAGAGAGAAAGAAAGACATGTGAACGACAATTCATAGTTAAAATAACAGGAGGAAAGAAATGTATAGACTATGTATAAACTATTGTGCAAAACTTGAGTCCAGCATGTCACTCAAGGAACATTGTCCACAAAATAAAAACAAATGGTGTACTGCAGAGAATATAATATTTGATTGGAAGTTCGAGAAAGAATTTCAAATATTTCTGAGTATTTTATTATGTGCATAAAAGTTCATTGAAAAATTCTTGAAAAAAGTCACACAGTAGATAAGTTATACTATTCTTCTGAAGAAATACAATACAATTGCATAGGAGGCCAAAATAAGTGTGATAAATATAGCATATACATATATATATCCACGTGTTGTATTTCAGCCTACTTATGCACAATGTTATTGCTTATTTCTTGTAACTCTTCACTGCTAGTAACAGTTTGGTCATCAAACTGAACTGGTATCTCATGCATATTTATCATTTGAATATACATGTATGGTGATACATTGACACCATGTTTCAACAGGACTGTAAAAAACAAAAATAATGAAAATACAATATAAACAATGAAATGAGTAAATATCAAACTGAATGATCTGGTTGAACAGTTAAATGAATATTCCGTGCAAGAGATCTTCAAGCAAAGTTCAAGTCCAACATGTCACCTGAACAAGGTCACCTTCCGACCTTGAAATGATCCTTAGTTACTGTTACCAAGCAACAGTAACAAATGCTCCAGACAAGATCACAAGGGCCTACTATGCTTGATTAATCAGGTGACAGAATATTCAACATGTAGAATTACTGAATGTGAAATGGATATATCTTCAAACAATCAGCAAAAATTTGTCAAAATTCTACAATCTTTTGATCCAGCATGTCACCAAAAGAATCTGGAATGAAGGTCAAGGTCATATTAAATTATCAAGATTATTTTTACACAAATTTGACCTACTTCCAGTTCATGAATGTAAGAATTCTAAAACATTTAGGATAATAGCTTTGAAGATATAAATTTTCACACACAAAACAAGGGACATTGCTTATTCTACAAGTTTCTTCCCCATCTTGTAAGTGTTATTATGCAAAACAAAACACCAACAACAACAATAACAACAAAAACAATATCACATGGTGTTTTGACCAATCAAATAAGTGGAAACAAATATGGCAGTGTCATGTGACTGATCTGATTGGTCAAAATCAAATAATGATGTAATATATTTAAATAATGCATAAGAAAGTGGATTTTAAAAAATCCACAAAAATGTAAGCACTGGTTTTGATGAGAACATACAAAAGTATTCATGAAACAAAATAATTAAAATGGCTCATGTTTGTTTGGCAAGAAATATCATCCACTGGCAGCAGCTACATTCAGTCAAAAAGCAAAAAAAAATGCCCTAACACACTGTCCCATCATGTTTCAGCAAATGCTCCATAATTGAAACCATCAAAAACATACAAGTCAGTGAGATCATTACCATTAAAGAAAATAAATGGAAACAATTGCATAAAGTGGCTTAGCTTTACAAATGGTTGGCATCCTATACATATGTACATGTATTTTACATTATTTACAAAACATGTTGGGAGATAAATATATTTTATTCTATATACAAAAACAAACTTCATATCTATACACACTAGTAAGGGAACTACTCTACTAATCTCATTTTCTATTATTTTTTCACAGTTTTGAACATTACAAGGGTGAATAAAATAATAAAATGGCTAAACTGCCATAGCCCCACAATTCATATACACGAAAAGTATACTTTCCACCAGACATAATCAATTTATCAGTAAACCGTGGCATGTGAATGTATTCAATTAAAATTCTTAAATCATTGTTTTTTTCTTAGAACATCATTTTGTTAAAACTTCCCAATAAAAGCTTAATTTTCTATAAAAAACAGTTTATTATAAGATTACGATATTCTTCACAGAAGCATTAATTTTGACAGGAGAAGAAAACTACAACTGTTGGATAAATATTTGATTATCCTGCTTCAATAAGGCACTTGTAATAAAAAATTGAATTCATATCTGTGAATAATTTCAAGTAGAATCTTAAGACAATGCTTTAGTCTTACAAAAGCATTTAGAAATAAAGTACCTGCAATTGAAATGTATAAATCAACTGGCAGCTTACATATTTAGAGTAAAACAGCTTTTATATCCCCCTCAAAAACTGTAGGTTCTTTTACTTTAACAACATTTCTACATTCTATACGTCTTTTATGAATAAATGAATAAATAGCACCAAGGGTGAACATTTACACTTTAGCATTTAAATATATATAATATATAAAACAACAGTTGCTGGAATATCAACATTATCAACATCATCATTGTCATCATCATTTCCTGTCAAACAAAACCCTAAGCACTTTAGTCCAATATGAAATACTAAAATAAAATACAGCAGTAAACAGTCATAGTGTAGGAATATAGTTCACTGGCTTAACAAAAATCTATTTAACTTGTTTGTAACTTAAAAAGCAAATTATATAAATAAATAATAGTAATAGTATACAGTAATATGCAAATGAGGCAGTCATGTGATTGTTTGTAACCAATCATCTTCACTTCTTTGCGAGACTAATTTCACTGCATATAAATAACGTTGCAGAAACTTTAGTCCCACCCGGAAGTGGCAATATCTCTCAACATCTACGACTTTGTACCGTCCAAAAAAAACAAACATATTCTTACACAACATAAAAAGTTCCTTCTACACAAAGAAAACCTGTAACTACATGAGCTACTGATATATATATGAGAGAGAAAAAAAAACCTATGAGTAAATAACGACTTTGTTAAAGGGTTACCGTGGTTACAACAATTTGTCCAGATTTTGATAAGATATAATATTAACAGAGTGACATGTATTAATACAGTGATATGAAACAGAAAGTATATCTTGAGTAAGTTAACGAGCAAAAATATAAATATTAAATGTGTTTTTTTCTTTTAATTATACTTAACATTAATATATTTATTAATATATTTCATCTACCCGAGATGGAACTTGTTTATAGTGGCAGATAAAGGAACAGACTTTGTAGTTTTCTTTAAACTGAAGTGACAAGACTTTTACTGTCATACAACACATGGTTTAAATCTTATATATTTTTGGACATTTTCCACCAGACTTTTGTCCTGAAAGCTCATAATAATGAGAAAATATTCCAAAAATATTACCTTACAAAATCCAGATATTATGATAAAATGCCAAAACATGTAAGACAAGAAAAAAATTCTCTTTTCCTACAATTTCTCATCAATACCTCTTAATAAAAAATATTTTAATTTCAGAAAAGAACAAAATTTCTATATCAAAAAAAAAATGTACAATACATTCTGATTTTCTTTTGCAAAAACCAAAAATTGTGTATGACAAAAGTCCATGCACACCTCCTTCATGAGTGAAGGAAGTAAAAAATATATAGTAAGAAAAAAAAACAACAACAACAGATCATATACAATGATAATCACGAGCTTAGGGCAGAAAGCTTGTCACTGGTCATTTTAAGATCAGTGATATATTTAACCTTGCTACACTAAGCCAATGACTTTTGATACTGTAAACAAGAGACCAATATCACATACAGCTAACTCTAGCGAAAATTGCACTTTTTTTTTAAAATATCGCCCAACTGACATTTCCCCTTACTTTTACTTTAAGCATGTAAAAACATCTGTTACAAAGTGAATATTTGTTTAAATGACATAATATAAAGAAATATAGAAATCAAAATGTGTAAGGATGTTTATTATTAATTAACCTTATATAAATCGGAACTTTTTTTTTGTTTGTTTAAAATCATAAGTTATAAAAGGCAGGCATGTTATAAACATTTGAATAATTAGTTTTAAAAAGTTTACATTATTAATACCTCCTTTAAAGGTTCATAATTCTTCATGAAAATGAATGAAAAGCAATATCGTATATCGGAGATACTTTCACTTTTCTTTTTTTGTAACAGATCTCCTCACATGTATAAAATATCATAGTAGGCATTATCAGGGACTGTTCATACTAAGTTAATACATTACAAGACTAAGAGAGTTGTAACATGACTATTTCGAAAGTTTACTTATAACGCGTATGAGAGCACCGTTCTCTTCCCGTAACCGACGGTTGTCTTCCTTTAATTGATCCATTTTCTGAAATAATACAAAATAACAATAATTAACGGTTATTATGAATGTAAGTTTTATCAAAAACTATTCAAATACTTGTGAATATTGTATTGTTTTTTTTTTCCAAAAGAACTTACTTATACTTTCAAACATGTTTTTCCTGATTTATTGAACATGTTTTTATATTTTTTTTTATACTTAATTATTAATAACATGTTTCTTTCACACATATTTAACGAATACAATGTACTTGTGCATATATCATTTTGAAAATCAGGAATCATTTGGTAATTAGATCTGATATAATAGTTGCACATGCATTGTCACAAATGCAATACTGCCTTATATTGTACACAATATACAAATTTAGCAGGTTTACCCCCCCCCCCCACCACAATATTTTTGCTTTATATAGACTCCTGGGTGCGTTTTCCTAGCGTACATACGTTATCGTAATTTGAGTTTGAATATAACTTTTTGCGTAAGCAGAGCTAACGAATTTATTTGTGTTTAACTAAATTTTCTTAGCTGTGAATTTGAGTAAGTTTCAACGTTAAGTTACGCTAACTTATTGCTGGCGTTAATTGCACGTTCTGTTTAGTGCAACGCATCTGACGTAAATTTACATTTTGCATAAGTCAAAATATAAGTCAAAAGATACGCAAAACTTAAAAAATGTTAGTGAAACACTCGCCTGATTTTTTACACTAAAATTTTCTTCATCTTACACAATTTTACCAATAAGAAAAAAGGTTCATAATATTAATGTAAGTATCAAAAATTGCCATGCACTAGTTTTTTGTCCCACAACCGATCATAGAAGCTTAATCCTTTAATCCATTCCCTTTCCTATGTATACTAAATTGTCTTCTATAAAATTTATTTAAAAAACAAAACAAAAACAATAATGTTGCATCTAAAACTAACTAAGCCTTTGTATGACTGCTTTAAAAACAAATAAAGGGCCATCAATTTACAAACATATAATGTTTTGTATTTACTATATACAGGAATGCCACTGAATACACTTTTGAACATGGAATTCCTGAAAAGTTTCATTAGAACTTGTATATTTATATATTCATTTTCAATTTGTATATTTATATATTTATATTTATTTTCAATTTGTATATTTATATATTTATTTTAAGTATGATATAGAAATAAAAATACTGACAGATTAGTGACACTATCAATGATGTAAGTGCAATAAAAACACGTCTCCAACGATGGACGTAAAAGAATCTTAGATAGATATATTGTAAGTGGCAACAGATTAAGGGTGTGCACTTAATAAAAATTACTGTAAAAATTCAATAATAAAAGTGAATTTGGGGGTGAAAAAATAAACATCCAGATTTGATAAACTATTTTTTTTTTCTGGCATACTTCTTACTTTAAAATAATGAGAAATAGAATCCATAAAGAAAGCCCAAAAAGAGAAAATTGAAAATGTTGCAGGCTTGGTATGATTGACAGTACTTGAAAGTGTAAGCTAATGTCCACGTCCTCTAGCACCAGCTAAAGCAGAATTCAACATTTACTGTACCTCTTGATACAAAATTTCTTAATAAAAATGATAAACACACTTTGACAAAAAAAATGTGGCATTAACATTTTAACATTGTAAATTAGAAATTACCCCTAACCCTGCTGTAGTCAAAGGTGATTTCTATTTGCCACCAATATTTAGCCAGGTCAGCCTGTATGTCCATACAGTCTGACATGGATCTATACTGCTGGCTGACATTTTAAAATTATCACCTAAAAATCCCCAACATTGATAATGGTCAGTTCCATAAATGGAAGCTGGACAAATACATTTAAAAGAATTCTGCAGGTTAAAGGTTAAGAATTACATCGCAAACCAATCAAATTATTCATCTGTTGTTTTTATTATTATTTTATTCTTAAAACATGTTCAATAGTTATATACACTAAACAAACAACATCTATTATTTCAATATTATAAAGAAAGAAAACAAAAATTCATAAGTTTATACATGTAAGAGATACAACAGAGCATCAGCGTAACGTGCTGTGACGGCAGGTTGCCAAGCTTTCTAGTAAAACACGTGTTATTATACATTGACCTCTAAATTATTGACGCAATTTATTAAAAACGGGGAAAAAGACATCGATCAACATACTTTTAGTTTAATTACACTGACAACAATAAAAATGAGTATGTACAGATATATAAAGACTGAAATTACAACAAAATAAATACACAATAATAAAAAAACTAAATCTTTCAGCAGCCTTCCATGCAAATGCACTGAATTATTTTTAATTATTGTCAGTTTTTTTCCCCCTTTCTTTTTTATATCAATGGTCAAGTGACTAGAATGTTTTTTTGTTTTTTTTACCCATTTTCAATAACAAATCAAGTTATTTCCTATCCCTATCAACCTTTTCTCCACTAATTTCATATACTGGCCTCTTCCAGCTTTGATTTTAAGCATTTTCTATTGCTGGCTTCTGGGGGTAGGGGAGGTGGTATAGGAATGAAATATTAAATCAACAGTATAGAGACTGGTAAAATTTCCAAGAAAAGCTGAGAGGGGGAAGTGCAGACATGAGTAGCTCTACATTTGTGGTCTTAACTTTGCAGTATTATAACTGGCACAGCAATATCAAGAGAGATCACCACTGGCAGTATTAGCTCTGGTCCAGTCAGTCACATCTAAACCAGTACAACATTAAAATAGATGGTAGTCTTAAACAATATCCGCTGTAAAAATGAACCTGTCTCTGTTTTGAATTTTTAACTGTCTATTCTTAGATAATTTCTAGGATTTAAGGGTCAGAATACATCAAATACATCATCTGTGTTGCCAACAGAATTGAGTCGTATCAGGCTTCTTACAGCTGCAGATTGGCCCAGCTATAAATATTGGTTGCAGATTCTTACATTAATTGTTGCTAGCGCTTAGATATTAACAAGTGTAGTTAACAAGTGTAGTTAACCAACGTTAAACTTGAGTAAATCAGCAACTGTTCTAGAACTGTTACGCATGCAAGCTCAACCTAGTCTTCATGCAATGAAAAGAACTGAATTAAATGGTGATGAAAAAAAAAAAACATAAGAAAAAAAGTAAAATTAAAATAATGTATAGCAAATGACAAATTCTGATAAATATTACCCACTAAATTTTAGCCTCTAAAAATAGCTAAATATTTTGTACAATATTTACATAGGGCTTTCATTAAAACACTAAATAACCATGTAACCATCCATGTAACATTGATCATTTTGAACACTATACTGTATAAACTAGTTAAAACTTTTTAATTAACCTTTAATGTGATTTATTTACCCAACAAGTAGATGTACATGTATACACAATAGGTGACCCAAAACAGCACTGTGCCACATTTTTGAGAATGTCTTTACCTAAAACACCAAAAGTTCTCTGTACAAATGGCAATGATATTTTTTTGTCACTTTCAACGCTTTAAAAATGATATGAATGAATATGTTCATATTTGACCAACGCAACTGACCAATTATAACCTGTATTTATCATTCAGAAACACTTTAATGACTTGTTTTTCAAATGACTAAGATGTATGGAACAGATTGGCCAAGAGACATTATTGGATTCTTTTCTGCATGACGTCATTGAAACATTTTACAAACTGGACAGTGTACAATTTGTCTAAATTGTTTAGGCTTGCTCTGTTTAGCTGCTGTCAGTTAGTATTCAAGTATCCTCAAAATGACCATTGCATGATATGACCAAACATGAATATCTATTAATATCTGTGACACTTGGACAAAACAATCGACCATGCAGCTCTGTGACAAATATACTACATGTAGCACATATATATCATTCTTTAAAGCAAGCGTCTCTGACAACGATAAGCCGCGTTCTTTCTTGAATTTATCATTCACTAAGAAATAAAGAGGAGGAAAGGATGATAGAAGAAGAGGGAACTGTCCAATCAGACACAAGATGGCTGCATGATTTTGTTACCTATTTTGAAAGCTTGGCAACCACCCGTGTTAAAGCTCTATTTTCCTCTTTAAGTTTGGCATTTTCTGCCCTTATTTTGTCCATATGCTGGAAAATATATCATTAAAATAAAGTCATTTAAAGTCTGTTTGGTTTTGGTTTTAAGTCACAGAGACACTTTACAGGTCATATGGCAACTTTCCAGCTTTATCGGTGAAGGAAGACATTAAGTGCCCCTCCTTGCACTATTTCAGGCATATTCGGGCACTTGAGAAGAACCACAGCAGTTCCATAAGCTAGCTGGATAGCTTCTTTACATGGTAATTTAAAGAATAATTTTCCACAAATCCTACGTTTTTGGTACATGTATTTCACACCAAAGCTTCATAATTCATAGAACCATGTAATCTTGTGAAAAAAGTTCTGTAACTTTCATGTTTTTATTAACATAGTTATGAAAAAATTATCTTTTGTACACTAAGTCCTGCATCAAAACAATACTTTAGATTGAACATTGCAAAAAGTAAAATTGAAAAATTAACAAAAAACATTGAAACTTCAAGTTTCATTATTACAGTTATTACTATTATCCCCATCTATCTCTAAATAACTCTAAATAAATGTAGATATGTTGAAGTATAGAACCATAGCCAAAGACACAAAGGCATTATGGGACATTTAAGCATGTCTTTTTTAAGTTCATAAGATTTTAATTTTTCAGAAGTCTCAATTTTCAAATTATTTCTTTAAACAAATCAGCTGTTTTTACACTGAGTCTTTCCTTTTAAAATGACAAATAATTCATTTAATAGACTATTACCCATTATAGTTTTTCTTTTTTATTGTGATACTCTACTAAATAATATACCACTACTGCAGTTAAATAAGATAAATACATATTTTATCAAAAAAGTCCTATTTCATTTAATAAAGGTAACTTTTACACATTTGACTGACCCTTCACTTTCATTCTTTTTTATAAAACCGATTATTTTGCTAACTAAATACATTAAAAATACCCTTTTTGTAAAATTACCTTAATTTCTTCTTCTAATTCTGACAATTTTCGTTCTAATGCCCTTCTCTCCTGTAAATGAATTACAATTGGATTATCATACTGATTAAACTTATCAATATTCTTTGAAATATTTTCTTGCTGTAATGCAATCATCTACATACATCTACAAAAAGATCATAAATGAGAATACATGTACTATTCAATTAGATATTTCACAACAGGTAGTGCAATTAATCAATTACAAACTTCATTTTGCTTGTTACATTTTTTTTTTTTTTTTTGGTACAAAGCAAGGCGCAAAATAAGAACAAGCAAATTCGTTGAATTTATATCCCCTGCCGAGTACTGGTTATTATTAACACAACAACTAAAGACATAAGGCTTTATTTATATATTAATCATGGCATAAACAGTAATATTCTTTGAACTTGATAAATATTCAGGGCAATAACAGAGCCATAACTTTGTGTTAAATAGTAAATCTGGAAATGCCAATGAGATGTATGCATACTACATAACTAATCAAGGGCCATAAATCTGAGTTATAAGTATCTGACTGGAACAAGGCGACTATATGCATATCTCCTCTTAGTATCCCATAAAGTTTCATTGAATTCCAGCCAGTAGTAGCAGAGAAGTAGCAAGGAAACAAATATTTTTCTATATGGATACTGCATAACTAATCAAGGGCCATAACTCTGAGTTAAAGTGTCTGACCGGAACAAGCCGACGATATGCGCATCTCCTCTTGATATTGATGATTCCCATAAAGTTTCGTTGAATTCCAGCCAGTAGTTGCAGAGAACTACTCCGGAAACGATTTTTACTCCATATGCATATTGCATAACTAATCAAGGGCCATAACTCTGAGTTAAAGTGTCTGACCCGAACAAGCCGAGGATATGGGCATCTCCTCTTGGTATTGCAGGTTCCCATAAAGTTTCGTTGAATTCCAGCCAGTAGTTGCAGAGAAGTAGCGCGGAAACGATTTTTACTCCATATGTAAATGCATAACTAATCAAGAGCCATAACTCTGAGTTAAAGTGTCGGACCGGAACTAGCCGACGATATGCGCATCTCCTCTTGATATTGATGATTCCCATAAAGTTTCGTTGAATTCCAGCCAGTAGTTGCAAAGAACTACTCCGGAAACGATTTTTACTTTATATGCATACAACATAACTAATCAAGGGCCATAACTCTGAGTTAAAGGGTCGGACTGGAACAAGCCGACGATATGAGCATCTCCTCTTGATATTGATGATTCCCATAAAGTTTCATTGAATTCCAGCCAGTAGTTGCAGAGAACTACTCCGGAAACGAAATTCGGACGGACGGACGGACAACGCCAAAACTATATCCCCCTCCCGATTCCATCGGCGGGGGATAAAAAGTTGACACAGGTTGAGGTTTTAAGTTAAAATAGGAATTTCAGGATTCAAAGGTGAAGGACTACTCTCCAATGTGCCCCTCAGACATTAGCAAAAAATCTCAGCAGAACCACAGGCATCTTGTTAGCTATCTGACCTTTCTTGATAAACTCTTGAGTTGTCATTAGGAGGCAGCTGTAGGCCAAAATAACTGTTTAAAAGTATTTTTGGGCCACCTCAAAACTTAGAAAACACTCTTTGTTGTACATGTATGTGATAAAAACATTAAGTAAGCCCCTCAAATACTGAAAGGGACCAATTTGGAAAACTTTTGAAGACAATCCTGTAATTTGAACCTACTAAAATGAAGTTATATAATGGTACATACAGTTTCATCTTGAGCAAGGGGACAATAAACTCTCTCACAACTTACCCTTTTATCATTGGTATCTGATACTCTATTGGCCTCGTTTTTCTTCATTTGTCTATCTAATTCTAGTTTTGCCTCACGTAATTCCTTTTTACATTGTTCTAACTCCCTTTTTAATCTGTCTTTTTCTACTTTTTCATCTTCATATAACTGTAAACATTATAAAAAGTAAATACTATACATGTTTTCAAAGTCATGGTAGTATCTTTATTTCAACATTTTTCAATATTAAAACAACAAACAATTAACACTGAAAAATTAATGCGCCAAAAATTGGTTATTTATAACTTATTTCGGTTATAACAATATAAGTTTGTAAAACATTTTTCTTTCAATCCGTCAATTTGTTAGTCACTCTAGTTTCAGGAAACACAAACAAAACAATCAATCAATCTGTACCTTTTTATAGTCTTTATCTAAGGAGGTTGAAGATCTTGAATACTCGCTGTAAGAACTAGGTCTGGTGGTGGTAAGATGTCCCGGCACATCTGAAGTTGAACCATATCTGTTGTATCGGGAACTCTGAAATTACACAAGCAAAAAACTGTGATCATTCTGTATATAGTAACTTTACCTCCCTGGCAGGATTGGAACCAAAAGCAGTAAGGGGGAAATGGTTTGAAGGCAATGACCTTATCCACTTGTCCACAGACACCCCTGTTATTGAACTACTTTTAGACATGAAGTGAGAAGCCACAACTCCTGGAGGAATAAACAACATTCAGTATTTTATTTCTTTCTTTTGAAGTCTAAGGACCCATTTATTCCCTTTCTTTCGCAAAATGTTATCATTTTCAAAATTTATGATTTTGTGTTTTAGTCATTTTTTCACAACATGAAAATTTCCTAGTTTGGCAGAAATAACTTTGTTCCTAAAGGACTGAACAAAAAAAAACAAAAAAACTTTTCTTCTCGGAACAGATAAAATGAACAACAATAAATCTCAGAGTCCACAACACGAACTGTATACAACTTCTTGTCTAAATCAACCATGTTTTGAAATATTATTTTGTTATTCATGAAAATGTCAGCTATCAAATCTGAACCTTTGTGATGAGACATTTTGAAAATCTACATTATTATTTACATCTCTGAAATCATACCAGAATCCTACCTTGTAAGGATGAAAATGCACTTTATCCATGCTATTCTCTTAGCAAATATATGAAGAAAACACTACATTACTCCATATCTCACAGGACTGCTTTCCAAAAATCCAATTTCAAGATTCAACTACAAGTTACTTATATAAATTTACAATGCCAGACATCTTTAAAAGCTTATTTTGCAACCATATCTTCAAAATATATCAGGATTTTTTAGATAAAGAAGACATTCATCCAATAATTTATTCTCCCTATAAAACCTGAATAATTTCTGCCAAAATGTCTTGGTGATTTTTTGTGTGTTTTCTCAAGAGATAGAACAATTAATGTTCAGGAAAATCATGTTTTCTTATCACGAAAAAAGAAAAAGAAACTTAAATTACATCAAACATGTTGGGTTGATTCCAGATATTAAATGTCTAAAGCAAGGTAAACATTAACTTTAGATTTGAAGTCTCTTATTTAATTATTGATTGCAAGAGATGAACTATGATGTCCTTTACTGGAATGTATCCAAAATTTCTTATTCATCATATAAGAAAACCTTTCTAATCAATATGCAATCTTTACTACTAAATTTCACTCCTTATCTTTGTTAAATCCTAAAAATATTATTTGTAATATAAAAAAAACTTCATCAGAAGATCAGAAGTTTGGGCTTGCAATTTTTAGCATATCTTTAGACTGATTAATTTGCAATTGGCATGTGGTAAGTATGCCAATGTCCTGTAAAATTTCATTAATCCATACAAGAAATTATCGCCTCAGCACTGGACTATTTCATCAAATTTTATTACAACAGTATCATATTGCAGAAAGGAATGTCAAAAGAAATATCAGGAAAAAAAACCCATCTGATAATGAAATTGAAATATTAGCAAAAACTTCTGATAATTAAACAATGAAAGAAGAGGTACAAGACATGATTCTGACCACAGATCTCACTGGCCAAACTAACAGGACATCTTTACAGTTAACATAATGTTTACTGGAAACAGACAATCAAAACTGATAAAAACTTAAATCCAGGTAACTCCTTATAATAAATGTCCAAGTCATGCCCCAAAAAATATGAAATTGTTCCTTCTTAACGCTTCCATGATTGGAACGGAAAGTGAAAAGCCTTTTTGCCACCAGAATAGAACCAGGCTAGCCAGCATCTATACTATTGGCAGACCAACAAACTTTTCATCTTGATTTCTAACAAATATATTGAAAAAGAGAAAAGATTTAAATTAAGCTTTTCAATCACTAACAATTTATTACCTACATTCATTTTAAAGTTTGCACCACCTTGCAACGCAAAATTCCTTACTTTCCAAAATTCCAACAAAACACTACCAAAGTAAATAAACATTTGGAGTCACTATTTTGGCCCAAAAGAACACCGACAATTAGGCATGCCATGTAAATGTCTTTACCTATCAACAATTACTTGTCTAATATAATATATAATCACTCGCATTTCTCAAATATTCTGATTCTACAAGAAAACTTTTGTGACTGATTTACAGTAACATAAACTTTCATCCTGTTAAATTTCTGAACAAACTGTTCAGTTTCTATTTTTTTAATGGACTGTTCAGTTTCTATTTTTAAATGGAAGTTCAAGTTTTATTTTCTTAATGGACTGTTCAGTTTCTAATTTTTTAATGGACTGCTCAGTTTCTAATTTTTTACTTGGCTGTTCAGTTTCTATTTTTATAATGAACTGTTCAGTTTCTAATTTTTTACTTGGCTGTTCAGTTTCTAATTTTTTAATGGACTGTTCAGTTTCTAATTTTTTAATGAACTGATCAGTTTCTATTTTTTTTAATGAACTGTTCTGTTTCTAATTTTTAATGGACTGTTCAGTTTCTAAATTTTTAATGGACTGTTCAGTTTCTGAATTTTTAATGGACTGTTCAGTTTCTAAATTTTTAATGGACTGTTCAGTTTCTATTTTTTTAATTGACTGTTCAGTTTCTATTTATTTTTAATGGACAGATCAGTTTCTATCTTTTTAATGGATGATTCTATTTCTATACATTTTGATCAAACACTGGCAGTTTTAAATTTACATCAATCTATAAACAACTTGTTAAAATGCCAGTAAATTTTTCTTGTAAATATATTATATTTGTTTTTAATGATAAGGAGCCTAAATTGTACCACATTCTTTTGGATGACTCAGAAAAATCAAGGTGGGTATTAAAGTTGAATGATTGAGCAGTCATGAAAACCAAACATCATGGAATAAACAGATCTCAAATCGGGTGTAAACATCTTGGAAGTTAATTGGGAAAGAGGTCTCTGTATAAAAGATAAGAATCACAGAAATCTTAACTAATAATGGCACTATAAAGTACCTGCCATTTACAGTTAAACAGTTATATGTATAAGAATAATATCTTGTTCTTTACTTTGTTAGTGTTATAACAGTATAGCAGAAATCCTCAATTTGTTATGAATTTTTTTTATCAATATTCCATTTTGATGCTGGAGCTAAACAATACTGTTTGCTTTATTGCCATATTCTAAACATTATCAAAATGTTTGTAGACAGGCTTTATATGTGTTGGAAGACTGAATAGTGTTAAAGCCGGTGCTAGGGGGCATGAGGGATGTTACACATTACACATTTCCATTATCTCTAAAGAATAAACTTGATCTTACAATTTTTCTATTATATTGTTTTTCATTGCTTCCTTTTAAGACAGTCAAAAAAGCTTTGAACATGTAAAGATTTTGATTCTAGCTGGACCAGCAGTACATGTCAAACTGATGATCCATGAATATTTAATCTGATTTTGTTACCAATAGACCAGGGTACTTGCTCTCTTAACTTCAGTGAATTGCTTTTTTGCTTTAGAATTCCACAAAAACTTATGTTTTTAGCAAGATAATTTTAAGATTATCTTAACTTTTGAAATGGCATCCTTTGATAACAATAAGAATGTGTACCAAGTTTGAAGTGAATTGTTTTTATAGTTTCTGAGAAAATGGACCTAAATCAAAGGTTTATCAACACTAACGCCAAGGTCAAAAAGACTCCACTTTATTTCTTCAAAAAGACTGGGTTTTTTTTTTTTGTTTTTTTTTTTAAGATATACAAAACTAGAAATGTGTCATCATGCCACGGATGCCCCCGTATGCAGCCAAAATTTCAGATGTTATAATATTTAGTTCCAAATTTGTTTGCACAAATTATTTTTTTCATTTGCAGTTCAAAGCCCTTAAAACTTTTCAATGTTAACACAAACCATTTTCATACAATGTTCAAAGCACTGAAATTATTCAGTCTTAACCTTTTGAAAATAGCATATTTCATATTTGTAGCCAAAATAATGGCTACATACATTTCCACAAAAGTATGAGTGCTGAAACTGAAAGTTCAAAATTTTTCCAACATTCAAGAAAGATAAGTTTGTCCAAAAATCATTGAACCACGACCAAATTCAAACTTTCCACAAAAGTATGAGTGCTGAAACTGAAAGTTCAAAATTTTTCCAACATTTTAAGAAAGATAAGTTTGTCCAAAATCATTGAACCACGACCAAATTCAAACTTAAACTGCTTATTCCTAAGATGTATCTATATTATTTTCAAAGTGAAAGGGACATAACTCTGCCAAAAATCATTGAACCACGATCAAATTTGAACTTGACCTGCGCATTCCTTTGATGTATCCATATGTCAAGTTTGAGTTGAATGTGTTGTACCGTTGGGGAGATAATGAACGGAAACTGAAAATTTCATATTATTTTCAAAGTGAAAGGGGCATAACTCTGCCAAAAATCATCGAACCATGACCAAATTCGAACTTGACCTGTATTATCTCAAGACATATCCATATGTCAAATTTGAGTTGAATGTGTTGTACCTTTGGGGAGATAATGAACGGAAACTGAAAATTTCATATTATTTTTAAGTAAAAGGGGCTAACTCTGCCAAAAATTATCGAACCATGACCAAATTCGAACTTGACCTGTATTTTCTCATGACATATCCATATGTCAAATTTGAGTTGAATGTGTGCAACCGTTACTAAGATAATGAACGGAAACTGATGATGACGGAATGACAGAATGATGGAATGACGGAAGGATGGAACAGGGTAACACTATATGCCCCGGCCATTTCATGGCGGGGGCATAAAAAGCCTTTTGGTCATTTAATATTTTACACAAGTTAAAGAAGTTGAAACTGCCAACTAGAATAGTGAATGCCATGCCAGAAATATGCTTATTTTTATTATCTGATGTGCATCAGTTTGGGCAGCCAACAATGTGTACTTCCTACTTCTGTTTGCCAAGAACATTTACGCAATAACATGATAACCATTACATTATTATACTTGTATTTATTGTTATATGATAAGAATTTCCTACATATGAAGGTTATTCTTGTGAGAGTATTCAAATAATAGCCACAATAGTCAAACCCTTGCACTGCTGATTTTCTCTTCTTTACCATTTCTTGCTAAAAATTTGTCAATTGCACATAAAGGCAGAGCAAATATTTATCAATGTCATTAAATAAAGAAGCTAAAAATGTGAAGTTAAGCCAGACTATATGAATGTGCAGACTGGCATAATCTGGTTTGACTGTATGAATGTGCAGACTGGCAGAATCTTGTTTGACTGTATGAATGTGCAGACCGACAGAATCTGGTTTGACTGTATGAATGTGCAGACTGGCAAAATCTGGTTTGACTGTTTGAATGTGCAGAATGGCAGAATCTAGTCTGACTGTATGAATGTGCAGACTGGCAGAATCTTGTTTGACTGTATGAATGTGCAGACCAACAGAATCTGGTTTGACTGTTTGAATGTGCAGAATGGCAGAATCTAGTCTGACTGTATGAATGTGCAGAATGGCAGAATCTAGTCTGACTGTTTGAATGTGCAGAATGGCAGAATCTAGTCTGACTGTATGAATGTGCAGAATGGCAGAATCTTGTTTGAATGTGCAGAATGGCAGAATCTAGTCTGACTGTATGAATGTGCAGAATGGCAGAATCTAGTCTGACTGTTTGAATGTGCAGACTGGCAGAATCTTGTTTGACTGTATGAATGTGCAGACTGGCAGAATCTGGTTTGACTGTATGAATGTGCAGACTGGCAGAATCTGGTTAGTCTGTATGAAAGTGCAGACTTGATTGTAAGATTTGATTCAAACAACAGTTGATGGCCATACCATTATGTATAGCCTTAATCAGAACTGCTATCTAAGTTAATTTAATTTACAAATTAATTAGTTCACAAACCCCTTGGATACCAATTAAGTATAATTTTAAAGTTAGGTCATCTCACCTATCTGATAATGCATGTAGAGAACAGTGATTTAAAGAACTGGGCAAACACATTAATATTCATTGAATTATTTTAAGACTTAAGATAACAGAAATTTGCATAAAAATAAGATTACATTATCGATCAAGCAAAGAGAAGGCAGAAAGCAGTTCAGTCCTGAATGCCTAAACAGTTTATTTTTATTCTACAGAAAATCAAACAACTCTTATGCTGTTTAAGATCATGAATGTTTCAGATTTAATTTTTTTTTATAAATATTGTTCAGTTTTGATATTTTACTTTTTACTTTTTACTTAAACCACTTAAGTTCATCTTAATCATTAACCTTATAAAAATATTGCAATTACAAAAACTAGTAATCTTATTTAATTTGTATTGTAGAACTAATAAAATAATCAGAAAGCAAAACAAATCTGATTTATATAATTTAGATATCATCCACAAGTGTATATCATTACAGAAAATAATTTCTTTCTCTGACAACCTTCAGAATTTTGAATGACATTAAGTAGCCGACCTACCCTATATGGCACTGAACTAGCTCCATACCCTGTGGAGCCAAGACTCGATATACTGCTGGTTGATCCCGACCTTGAACTATATCCTGACCCGTATCCCGAAGTAGGTCCAGAACTGTATGCACTAGCTCCCCCGTACGAGCTCCCTACCCCGTAAGAACTTGGCTGACTGCTGTACAAACTGCTAGGGGTGTAACTGTTCAATGAATGGCTACTACCATAGTGACCATGATTCGAGCTTCCGGCATACTTTGTTAACGGGCTATAGCGGTATGAACCGCCACCATAAGACATAATTTCCACACAATAATCTCAAAACATGAATTTTTAATACCTTTTGATACGAAAATTTCCACAGGCAAGGATAGTAAATTACTAATCCTGGTAATTTTTCCCCTTCCAAAAAATTAATTGATTATGTAAACTGCACTGATTCTTGGCACACAAAAAAATCCTGTTCTTTTTAAACAAGTTTTATTGAATGAGACTAGAATTGTGTAAACTGAGTTATCACAATAAAAAAAAATTCTTCACTATAACAGACGAAAATGTGCAATAAAAACACCAACAATCAAACAAGGATTCTGGTACACATTAATGGTAATTGGCTAATGTTTTGTCATAACAAACTAACTAATTCATCCTGATGTAACTTGAGATAATCCTTCTATTATCTGGAATGCTTATCAGCTGAACACTATTTGGTATATATATTTATAATTCTCTGACAAAAAATATATATATATCACAAATACAATAACAAATCCTCCCTCTTTTCATGAAAACAAGTAAATAACAATAAAATAAGTTACAACAACCTTTGATTGTGGAATGAAGAATTTCTATAAACTCTTACTTATTTAATTACTCATTTTAAGCTTATCCAGTCTAATCACATGGTCGTTTGTCACATTTAATTCAAGTAATAGATGAAAATAATTAATAAGGAGATTATACGATTAGTGCCCTAGTGACCTTAAAATCACAGTTAATTGCAATTTAAAAATCCAATTATGTCTATTATCTCATTATCACAACACTATTTCCAGCATGACCTCAGCATAGGATTAATTAGTTCAAAACTTTTCCCTTTTTTTCTCGACCAACAATTGCGGAAAGTGGCCTTGTAACTAAATCCGAAATCCTCTTATCCTGAATCGAAAATAAAAATGCAAAATCCTTAAGTCCACAAAGGATTATACTTCACAACAAGTAGATAGTCCTCTTGAAAACCACCACTCCAAACAAAGTTCACAAACTATTTTTAAACCACCATCGAAAACAATGATCTAACTATAAAGTCCTTCTCATAATACGAAATGTAAATACTATAATAAATAAGTTATTGAGTACTTCATGTTAACCTCTCTATCAATCATTTGACTGATAGATTGTCTGATAACCTATCAAAACTATAAAACTTGTTCTTTTCATTGAGTGCTCACATGAGGCATTTAGAGGTATATGTGTGTAGAATGCCAGGAATATTGTTAAGTAGTTCACTTTCTGTAAACAAGGTGAACTGGAGGGAGCAGTTCTTTTCTGTGATGTAGAATTTTTTTTTTCTTCTAAATATCTGGGCGAAAATCTGGGCGTATATCAGTTTTAAAATCTTTTTCTTAATCAACTTTGGGTGTGTTATTTTCACGATTTTTAACAATTTAAATTGATATAAAATTATGTTTTTGTACATAAAAATTATGAAAACACAAATACCTAATTATATATTGTAGCAGATTTTTTTTTACATTTCTAAACTTGAAACACCCTTTTTGATAACTTCCTTATTTACAAGAGTAAATAACACAGCATTTGCCAAGTGCATGACTCTGGGACTATAAACCATAATTCTTAATGTGAAAATAACAGACTGAAAAGTCTGTAGACTTTAAAGCAAGTTTAATGTTAGGCGATTAGAATATGTACAATTTTCTCACGGATTGTCAGCAACATTTCAGTAATATATGTTCAAAGAAAGTGTCTCACAGAAAAAATCAGTGAGTACAAAAATCTATAAATTTGTGGTATTCTATTACCTCCCTTTATTCAACATGACTTGTGTACAGCATTTTCATTCAATTCTAAATTCTCTTACACTCAAAAAGCATCAGACTTACAGGAAAGTTTCTGTATATATCAAGGTGAGGATGACTCATCATCTATCTGTTAGGCTTCTTTACAGAGATCTACTTCACAGATAAGTAGATTGGACCGTAATCAATTTTCTTCTATTCTAACATGCATACAGGAAAAATAGGTAATTGCCTGAAATGCCCTGTTTATTTACAGTTCTATCATGCTTTCTGATTTCATGTTTGAAAAAGTAAGAAAGAGAAAAATTCCTATGTTACATTACAGCACATAAAAAATAATGTTTTTCTTTCTTTTTAAATTGAAATATGCTGACTAAAGGGAGGTAAATATCTGACTAAAGGGAGATAATTTCAAACAAAATAGTTCTGAAAATGTATAATAAGCAGAAAGTGCCCGTCCCTTGTCACTGACAACCTTTTGATATTGTTAATAACCCTCTGTTTATTTAAGACTGCTGTGTTTATGTATACGTAGAAAACCCATAGTAATTAAGTTCTTAATGAATACTAATCCTATTGGGATACCTATTAACTATCTAATCAGGGATTAAGGACTTGGTTTTGCAAATTGTAAAAAAAGTGTTTAGTTTCTTAACAAATGCCATGCAAACATCTTGTTACAATTGGAAAGATTTTTCCCCACAGGTTCTTTACAGAAAATATTCTGTTATTCTTCTACCTTCAAAACAATACAGTTTTTATGCTATTTTTAGACAACACATTCATTCACAATTCTTTTGTCTGCAAGAACTGTTTTCTATTGTTGTACAGATGTTAAAGTGTATATTCTTTTAGCAATCTGAACTGCTAGACAGGTACATACTTATATATGCACAATAATTTCTAAGAATAGAAAGTAAATGTTATTGCCATCTGCGTTATGAAAATAACAATTGAGTTAGAACCCTGTTGGCATATTACATAAGCTATTTCTGAAGCAAGAATGCTTTGTTCTTTATGCAGACTCTGCCCTAGACATGACATTTTTACACTTGCTGTTAATTTCTATATGCAAGATCAAGTAATCTTAATCTAAGTTTAATATAAAAACATTTGAATAAAAGAATATAAAACAGTAAAAAAGCCTCTAAATTTAGGTAAATATTAATGAGAACTTTTTTTTCCTTATTCACACTACAAAATTTAGAACATTGATAGAAGTCTGAAAATCCCACATGATTCTCCTGTGACATCACATCAATGTCACAGTGGTATGATCAAGTGTACTTATTATCTAAAACACACAAATAATGCAAACATTCAAACAATAGTACCAACTCTTCAACATCATTCATCTAAATGATCAGAATGTTAGAAGCAATGTTTTTCCAATTAACCTGCCTGGAAGTATTGTGTTTGAACCTTAATTAGGACCATTTTAACCTGTAATTCCAAAGTATTAACTCCCCATCTATACAACTAATATCAGTAATTGGTGCTGCTTCATTACTGTACAGCTACCTAAATGAGCTAAAGCAAGTTACCGTATTATTCCATATAAACACTCTCCCACTCTTTAGTAAAATTCCTTTTATTCCTATGATTTGGACAAATACTCAAACACAACATTAAAATGTTACAACTTTTCTTGGTTTTTGTGACACTTTAAATGTCATGTGATGAATCGGGGTCAGATACCAAGCTGAGCAAATAATCTAAGTTCTATAGCCTATATTCTGTCAGCTGGTGGTGGACTTCTTACAGGAAGATATAGTATCCATCCTACAACAGTGAGAAGGAAGAAACCAATCATTAAAGTGACCACTCACTCAGCACTTACCAAAGATTGACTTGAGGCTTTATTTTTCTGCTTTTTTATTATATTGTATTATCATTATTATTATTATTATTGATTTCAGCGCATTTATGGTTGAAGATTGATTGAATACCAAAGAGGGCAAGAGAGATGTTGAACTTTTACATTATTTCATATGGACAGATTAAGTCAATTCTGGCATACAATTAGGAATCCACCCATTTCCAGTATTTTTTTTCTCAACTATCAGAGTATATATGCCAAGTTGCATCTAATTAGAACTTATATGGTATATTTCTGATGCCCAATTAATTTGTTGGAAAGAATTCATTCTATCCAATTATAGTTTACTCTTCTGCTTATTCAGCATAATTGTGATAACAATGTAGCAGATTAACATTTAACAATGAAGTCCAGGTGTAACCAGTTTCAATCCTTCTATACCATTTTCTTTATAAAAAAAACATATAGTTGTTTGAAGAATTTACACACAAGAAATAATTGTAGTCATCATACATGCATACTTTATACTTCAAAGATAAAAACATGGCTAAATGCCCAACCCCCACCCTGCCACCCACTGATCCCTCCCTTACTCCCTTCACTCTCTAATCAAAACACAAAAAAGAAATTTTTAACAGTTGAAAGTTGAGCTGTATATTACAAACTGTGTAAGATGCATGATACCAATCAATGGTATATGGTACCAATCAGCAAATGCCTTCAGCAGAGCGTGGGAAACTCTTAAAACAAACATCTGTTCACAGTAATTATTTCTCCAGGTAACTGTATTATGTAATCTGCACTTACAATCTTATCTGGTAGATATTAAAATATTAGGGGCATCTTTATCTTAATGAATACATCTTCACAAAAACCTGAGCTATTAAAAATACCTTTATCTGCAGTTCTCTAGAGAAAAGCCAATCTTTTCAAGGGATTATAGCCATTAAACACATTCCAAAATCAATCACAGGTATGAATATATAATTTGATGAAATTTTTTTCTTCACATCTAGGCTAGGGTTAAAATTTTGTATTGTTTGTTGCCATTTCTCAAACAAAGGTGTACCGTTTAAAACATATACAACATTTTTTCTCCTTAAAAGTTGAAAACAGGTATAACTAGAACTGCCACTATCATGGCGTGAATACCCCCGCATACCACTTTGTCAGAATCAACAGAGGCCATTTAGAGCTCAAGGACAACCTCCCTGCCAAATCAGAGGTTACTAAGCCAGTGCATTGCTAAATTCTGTATTCTACATGCTTCAAATGTGAAAATGTCAAAATCAATACATTGCGGACAGGACATACTTTAGCAATTGAGAAGAAAAGCTTTTTTTGTCAAGGTCCCTGTGACCTTGACCTTTGACCCAGTGACCTCAAAATCAATAGGGGTCATCTACTAATCATGACTAACCTCCATGCCAAATATGAAGACTAAGGGTCAAAGGAATCTTAAGTTATTGGGCGGACAAGCTTTTTGAAGTCAAGGCCCCTGTGACCTTGACCTTTGACCTGGTGACCTCAAAATCAATAGGGGTCATCTACTAATCATGACTAACCTCCATGCCAAATATGAAGACTAAGGGTCAAAGGAATCTTAAGTTATTGGGCGGACAAGCTTTTTGAAGTCAAGGCCCCTGTGACCTTGACCTTTGACCTAGTGACCTCAAAATCAATAGGTGTCATCTACTAATCATGACTAACCTCCATGCCAAATATGAAGACTATGGGTCAAAGGAATCTTAAGTTATTGGGCGGACAAGCTTTTTGAAGTCAAGGCCCCTGTGACCTTGACCTCTGACCTAGTGACCTCAAAATCAATAGGGGTCATCTACTAATCATGACTAACCTCCATGCCAAATATGAAGACTGTGGGTCAAAGGAATCTTAAGTTATTGGGCGGACAAGAAAAAACCGACGGCCGGACGGACGGCCGGACGGACGGCCGGACGGACAAGCTGATTCCAGTATACCCCCCTTACAACTTTGTTGTGCGGGGGTATAAAAAGTTTAGACAACAAAAACATTGTTTCCGAGAAACACAAAGAGATTAAGAAGCAATTGAAAGAAAACAGAATTAAGTATTTTTCAATGGTTTGGCCTTTTTGTAGAACATCGCCCAAACATTCAAAATTTGTAATTTGTAGAGAAGCAACAACTTTTGAGTTTCTTTAATCAAATATTTCATTTCTTTCATTTTTTCTATATTACTAGCAATTTCTTATGGTTCAGATATAGTAAATTGTTATGCTGTATAGAAAAGCTCTTTTTCTATCATACTAAAATAAAATCTCATTCACTTGTCACTGTCTATCTTAAAGTGGATTTGTCTACAATTGGCATATTATTTCAATAAGTACTTTAAATAATGTTAAAACACCCAATATAAATGTATCATTTGGATATAATATGAAATATTGTTTGCAAAAGAAATGTTGATAAAGTTTTAAGTGATTTAGTATGAACATTAATATGATGAATAATAATATTTTGTTCTAAAACATTTTATTATTTGCTATATAGAGATATGTAATAGTGGATCATGTATTTTACACTTACCAACAACATTATTCATATATAAATCTTACTTAAATACTATCAATGTAGTTATGACTGTATAACAGACCTTCAATAGTAGACCAAATCACTTTAATATTTTGTATTTTAAAACTAATGCAATATAAATTGTACAAAAAAAACCCCAATGCATTGGTGGGTATAAATTTTAAGAAAGCCCCAGAAAAATGGATAGTATTTAACATAAGTAAGATGGTACCCTATATCATATACAAACAGATTATCATAAAAACAACTTTAATAGTTAATATAAATTGTAATATCAATATATCTGTTCAAGATAGAATAATAAATCGCCATTCTCTTAAACATGCCTTAGTAATTTATATTGTTTGATCCCTTTTGTAGCAAAAATTATTACTGAGAAAAATATCATTTGAAAAGATCTCATAACAACCTGCCGTATTTATTATGTTCACATTTGCTCCGTATTTACTTCACAAATTAATTCAAATTTAAATCAAACTAATCAAAATATTTAAAGACTTGAATTTCTGAATTAAAACAAATTCAGATAGGAACTGATAACATGTACTAACAGCAAACACAGTAGAAAAGAGGCAGACAAAGATATCAAATGACTGACCAGTACTATTACATCACTATTCTGGTCTAAATTGCAATTTATTCAGTTTATGAAGAGATATCATTTAATATACTTAAATGTTATCTGAATTACTTTTAGATATGTAACTTTGTTCTAATAAATTTCTCCATTCATCAATGCTATTTTTGGTTATTTTCATACTGTATTAATTTCACTTAGCAAATAAATATTATCTTTCATGACATAAAACAAATATAAAATATTCATACAGACTTCAATACCACTAAGATTACGTCTGTGAAGTAGCCCTTGACATTCATAAGATTATTTCATATCCATAAATGACCAAATTACAGACAAGTTTCTTACTTAGTATTTGGCATTATTTTTATTTCCTTTTGTAACACCTACACTGTCCGGTCAAATGGCCAACTTTCAGCTTTACTTTTAGAGATATTAAGACCTCAAGTGCCACTGTGTGCATTATTTTAGGAAAGTAAAACCTGAGACCTTCCATAAGACAGTTGGATTGGAAAGTTAGGTTGGTATTTTTCCACAGGTTTATGTCAATAAATAATAACATAATATAACATAAAATCATAACTTAATATAGGCGAATGAACTTATTAGCTTTCATATACAAACCACAGGCCTGGCAATGTATCAAACATAGGTCTTAGCCATTTTGGAACCAAAAGCCTTGACCTTAGATTAAAATGACTTAAAATAAATCATTTCAACATAATTATTGAACTAATGGTTGTAAAAGAGCAACAACTAGAACTCTTTAACCCTGACATATCTTTTGATAAAACTCTGAAGTGAACTTAACACACACCTTACAAGTAGGAGTTTTGACTATTTAGAACTTAAACACACTAGGATTTGCAAAACAAGTTCCAGTACTCTTCTCAAGGGAATGAATACATAATGTACATGAATAAAAATTCAACAATAATGATCAAAGCCATGATACCACTAAAAATCAGCAACAAGCCTGTATTGAATGATTTTTATACTTTTTTCATCACAATTTACCATAATTGTAACTAACATCTAACTTCAATGATTTATAAAACATGCAACTAAAATCTTATAACTCAGAATAAAAACAGAACAAAACAAAAGTACAATCTGAAAAATAACATTTACGATAAAATGAGTAACATAAATTTTGAATGTAGAATCATTTTAAGCCCAACAAGGAAACTACTTACAGCACTAGCTAAATATCTCCACCTAGCATATTTCTGTTCTGTTGTCTACCAGTATATAAATATATTACTCATTATTTGATCAACACCACATTTTTTTTTATTTGTTTCTGTCACACTGTCAATATAAGTCGTATTGTGATTTTCTAGCTATAATTAGGGATAATGGTTTAAGGTGACCATTTTGTACTTATTTCAGGCCATGTGAGTATAACCATTGACCTTCTATATGGTGGCTGAATAACTTCCTCACATACAGGGAATTCCTCACAAACAGCTAATTCCTCACTTAAGTAAATTCCAAATTACTCACATACTGGGAATTCCTAATATACAGGGAATTCCTTACAAACAGGGAAATCCTCACATACAGGGAATTCCTAATATACAGGGAATTCCTTACAAACAGGGAAATCCTAACATACAGGGAATTCCTTACAAACAGGGAAATACTCACATACAGGGAATTCCTAATATACAGGGAATTTCTTACAAACAGGGAAATCCTAACATACAGGGAATTCCTCACAAACAGGGAAATCCTCACATACAGGGAATTCCTCAAAAACAGGGAAATCCTCACATACAGGGAATTCCTCACAAACAGGGAAATCCTCACATACAGGGAATTCCTCACAAACAGGGACAGGGAATTCCTCACAAGCAGGAATTCAGTAATTCCTTGCAAACTCTCTGCTGTTTTTGAATGCTTTTGGATATTGTGGGGTGGGGGGGCGTTATGTGAACAAAGGCTGATCTTGCTTATGTTTAATCTTGTATTTTGGAAGGAACTGAAAATTTTATTAGGTTTGTAGGTCTTCTCCTGACAAAACCTCATCTTGACTTCAAGCATGCAAAATGAAAAGCTTCTAACCAAGTACAGAGATTTGTGAGACAAAAAAATGGAGTAATTAAATTAAGATTCCAATCTGAAAACTCACTTTAAACATTATATAGTTTCTTACCTTATCATCTGCTACTTCTGTTTTGATTTCATCTTTATTGTCATCTTTATTTTCTTTGTCTTTTTCATCTTCATCATCTTTATTCTGCAACATAGAATAACATGGTTAACTTCCCTTATGATTATAATAAATGTATGGTCTATGGCAAGTGTTTTCTACCAGTGTAGAGTCAGTTTTCTCCGGCCAGCCTGAGCATATGCACAGTCAGGCAATACTCTTTAAAAGTTTAGGTTGCTTTAGTTTACTTATATAGTTTTGAAATCTTTGAAAAATCATAAATGGCACGCCAAATCTGAAGCAGAACAAAGTCAATTACTACTTGTTTGGACACAAAAATTCATTTTTTTAATTTAAGATAATAATTAGAAATAATACTGTTTTTAAGTATATTTGGAATAAGGAAAAAAAGCCTGAAAATTTTCAATTGTTCTTCATCAAAGGTGAAGCAAAATTTACACCACTTTGTAAAAGTAGTTCATTTATAATAGAATTATATTTTTCAACATGTTGATGCCAACTTTTCCACAGAATTTTTCCATACATTAGTGAAGCATGAATTTCTTTATCTTTAATCAAATTAATGTCAGATAAAAAATGGTTTAGAACATATAGTTATCTCCATCAAAAATTGTCAAATTAGCAAGAACTTGTATAAACTCTCTCTAATCAGTATATAAGACAATAGGATGAGCAGGCTCTATAATTTATCTCATGTAAAAAATATACTACTGCACAAGATATTTAGCATATTACCTTAAACTCCTTGAACTACACATAACTTGTTTAATACCTGGGGATTTTTTTTAAATTTCAAGTTGGATTGTTAATAAGTATGTGCGTCACGACAAACTAATCTAGTGTACATTTGAAACTAATCAGAAGTTCCTTCACCTTTTTTTTAACAAAAATAACAAGAGGGCCATGATGGCCCTGAGGTCGCTCACCTGTATATAGCCCCCCCCCCGGCCAATTTTTACCCAAGGGCTTTTATTTGTTTATTTGAACAGACTTGGTAGACACCCATAAGAAGATGTTTCATGCTAAACATCTAAGTTCTAGCTCATTGGGTTTTTTAAAAGAAGATTTTTAAGTTTTTGCTATACACATATAAGGAAAATCAATGACCCCCCGGGGCGGGGCCAGTTTTGACCCCAGGGCTTTTATTTGAACATACTTGGTAGACACCCATTAGAACATGTTTCATGCTAAATATCTTAGCTCTAGCTCTTTGAGTTCTTTAAAAGAAGATTTTTTAAGTTTTTACTATATGCTGTATGGAAAATCAATGACCCCCTGGGGCGGGGCCAATTTTGACCCCAGGGCTTTTATTTGAACAAACTTGGTAGACACTCATAAGAAGATGTTTCATGCTAAATATCTTAGCTCTAGCTCTTATGGTTCTTTAAAAGAAGATTTTTTAAGTTTTTACTATATGCATATAGGGAAAATCAATGACCCCCTGGGGCGGGGCCAATTTTGACCCCAGGGCTTTTATTTGAACAAACTTGGTAGACATTTACTAGAAGATGTTCCATGCCAAATATCTAAGCTCTAGCTCTTACGGTTCTTTAAAAGAAGATTTTTTAAGTTTTTACTATATGCATATAGGGAAAATCAATGACCCCCCGGGGCGGGGCCAATTTTGACCCCAGGGCTTTTATTTGAACAAACTTGGTAGACACTAACTAGAAGATGTTTCATGCCAAATATCTTAGCTCTAGCTCTTTGAGTTCTTTAAAAGAAGATTTTTTAAGTTTTTACTATATGCATATAGGGAAAATCTATGACCCCCTGGGGCAGGGCCAATTTTGACCCCAGGGCTTTTATTTGAACAAACTTGGTAGACACTCATTAGAAGATGTTTCATGCTAAATATCTTAGCTCTAGCTCTTTGGGTTCTTTAAAAGAAGATTTTTTCAAGTTTTTACTATATGCATATAGGGAAAATCAATGACCCCCTGGGGCAGGCCAATTTTGACCCCAGGGCTTTTATTTGAACAAACTTGGTAGACACTCATTAGAAGATGCTTCATGCCAAATATCTAAGCTCTAGCTCTTACGGTTCTTTAAAAGAAGATTTTTTAAGTTTTTACTATATGCATATAGGGAAAATCAATGACCCCCCACGGCGGAGCCAATTTGACCCCAGGGCTTTTATTTGAACAAACTTGGTAGACACTCACTAGAAGATGTTTCATGCCAAATATCTTAGCTCTTACGGTTCTTAAAAGGAGATTTTTTAAGTTTTTACTATATGCATATAGGGAAAATCAATGACCCCCTGGGGCGGGGCCAATTTTGACCCCAGGGCTTTTATTTGAACAAACTTGGTAGACATTCACTAGAAGATGTTTCATGCCAAATATCTAAGCTCTAGCTCTTACGGTTCTTTAAAAGAAGATTTTTTAAGTTTTTACTATATGCATATAGGGAAAATCAATGACCCCCGGGGCGGGGCCAATTTTGACCCCAGGGCTTTTTTTTGAACAAACTTGGTAGACACTCACTAGAAGATGTTTCATGCCAAATATCTTAGCTCTAGCTCTTTGGGTTCTTTAAAAGAAGATTTTTTAAGTTTTTACTATATGCATATAGGGAAAATCAATGACCCCCTGGGGCGGGGCCAATTTTGACCCCAGGGCTTTTATTTGAACAAACTTGGTAGACACTCACTAGAAGATGTTTCATGCCAAATATCTAAGCTCTAGCTCTTAGGGTTGTTTAAAAGAAGATATTTAAAGATTTTTCTTTCGGTTGCCATGGCAACCAGAGTTCTGCATAGAATTAAATTCTTTGAACAAATTTTAAAGGTGACCACCAAAGGAACATTCCTGTGAAGTTTGGATGAAATTTGCGCAGTGGTTTATGAGGAGATGTCATTTAAAGCAAAAGTTTACAGACGGACGACGGACGGACGGACGCCGGACGGACGCCGGACGAAAAGCGATAACAAAAGCTCACCCTGTCACTTTGTGACATGTGAGCTAAAAATATAAAACAAAAAAACTGCAAACATGGTATCTGATTTGTTTTCTTGAGGGGTAGAAATCCTCTATACCTGTGTGTGTTACAATTTTAATTATAGTCTTTGTTCAGTATTAGATTTCACAAACACATGGGAAAAAAGTGACCCTTTTCACATATACAAAATTGACTTCTTCCATGGATATCAAAATTGATTTACTGTAACAATTTCCCCTGCAATTTACATATATATTCAAATGTATTGGAAAATTTAAGGAAATATCAGTTAACCATGCATGGCCAAAACTATTTTTGCATGTCTTGTTATGATGTTGGGTAATACAAATCAACATCAATAGGTCATGTTTTGCTAAAGCTTTATACTCTAAGAAGAAACCAAGCAAATTATGCGGATATTGTTCAGGTCTATTAACTGTTTGTGACAGTAGTTTAGCTTCATATTGGAAGGTAATTAACTTTACTGATGTTCCTTGCTAATTTACTAAATGCCATCCTATTCTCCAGTTAATATATAGCGCAAATGATGTCACATCGAAGTGTTATTACACTAGTGTAATATTGGTTTTTATTAAATGGCTTTATTACACTCCTGCCCGGTGATTTATGTGATAAACATACTTTTATTGAGATAATGGTAAATAGAACAATAGGTAACTCTCTCTCAAACAAGAAAGAAGTCTCTTATGAAGTTAAAAAACAATAAAACCCTACTTTTATCCCTTTTTATATGTTTACCATTCTACTTGTTACAGATAAATCCCTGGTAAGCCATTGGTTTTACAACTGATCAATTGTGATATCCATGTAAAAATCAGGGTATTTAAATGGTGACATGTAAACACTGATTTAACCTACTTTCTCGTCTGCCCACTGCTGGGCACTTTCTCTTATCCTTTTTATAACCTAAACATAAATATTATTCTAGTTTTCAATATACTGTATAATGTTGTCATGTATATGATGCCATGAATCTAACTGCAACCCTAGTAGTATAATCATTTAATCAAGAAATGGGAAACATTTAAAATGACAAATTCAAACAAAAACAAGAACTTTAATTGTTCACTACTTTTTCAGGCTTGTTTGCAAATTTTAATTTTCTCACAACAGCTTCCAAAGCTTCCAAAATAAACATACAGTTTCCTCAGAAATAAAATGTTCTACAAATTAAAATGTTTTATTTACAAGAATTGTCAAAAGCTTCAAGAAGTCAAAATTAACAATCTAAGTCTATTTCCCATGAAATAATATTTCAATTCAACTGTAGATAATTAAAATTTAAAATCATTTCTACAATAAAATATGCCTTATTTTGCAACAAGAGGGCCATGATGGCCCTGAAGTCGCTCACCTGTATATAGGCCCCCGGAGCGGGGCCAGTTTAAACCCCAGGGCTTTTATTTGAACAAACTTGGTAGACACCCATTAGAAGATGTTTCATGCTAAACATCTAAGGTCTAGCTGGTCAAGTTTTTTCTTTAAACATATAGTTAAAAACAATGACACACCTGGGGCAGGGCCAGTTTTGACCCAAGGGCTTTTATTTGAACAATCTTTGTAGACACTTACTAGAAAATGTTTCATGCTTAATATCTAAACTCTAGCTATTCTGGTTTTTTCAAAGAAGATTTTTAAGTTTTTGCTATACACATATAAGGAAAATCAATGTCACCGGGGCTGGGCCAATTTTGACCCCAGGGCTTTTATTTGAACAAATTTTGTAGACACTCACAAGAAGATGCTTCGTGCTTAATATCTAAACTCTAGCTATTTGAGTTTTTTCAAAGAAGATTTTTTAAGTTTTTGTTATACATGTATAAGGAAACTGAATGACCCCCGACGCAGGGCCAATTTTTGACCCCAGGGCTTTTATGACAACAAACCTGGTAGACACTCACTAGAAGATGTTTCAAGCTTAGTTTCTAAACTCTAGCTATTTGTTTTTTTCAAAGAAGATTTTTAAAGTTTTTGCTATACACATATAAGAAAAATCAATGACCCCCAATTTTGACCCCAGGGCTTTTATTTGAACAAACTTGGTAGACACCCATTAGAGGATGTTTCATGCTAAATATCTTAGCTCTAGGTCTTGAGGTTCTTTACAAGAAGATTTTTAAGTTTTTGCTATACACATATAAGGAAAATCAATGACCCCCGACGCAGGGCCAATTTTGACCCCAGGGCTCTTATTTGAACAAACTTGGTAGACATCCATTAGAGGATGTTTCATGCTAAATATCTTAGCTCTAGCTCTGTGGGTTCTTTAAAAGAAGATTTTTTAAGTTTTTACTATAGGAATATAGGGAATGACCCCCTGGGGCAGGGCCAATTTTGACCCCAAGGCTTTTATTTGAACAAACTTGGTAGACACCCATTAGAGGATGTTTCATGCTAAATATCTTAGCTATAGATCTTTGGGTTCTTTTAAAGAAGATTTTTTAAGGTTTTACTATATGCATATAGGGAAAATCAATGACCCCCCGGGGCGGAGCCAATTTTGACCCCAGGGCTTTTATTTGAACAAACTTGGTAGACACTCACTAGAAGATGTTTCATGCCAAATATCTAAGCTCTAGCTCTTTGGATTTTTTAGAAGAAGATATTTAAAGTTTTTTCTTTTGGTTGCCATGGCAACCAGAGTTCTGCATGGAATTAAATTCTTTGAACAATTTTCAAAGGTGACCACCAAAGGAACATTCATGTGAAGTTTGGATGAAATTGGCTTAGTGGTTTATGAGGAGATGTCATTTAAAGTAAAAGTTTACGGACGCCAGACGGACGGACGCCGGACGAAAAGCGATCACAAAAGCTCACCCTGTCACTTTGTGACAGGTGAGCTAAAAATAAACCGAGTTGTTGTTTTCTTATATATTACAGGAAATATTCTTTAGTGGAATTTGTCATAAAAGGTGACATTTTGTGGACTTTGCATCCTAGTTCATTGTCAGTTAAATGTGAGCTAATAAAAAACAAAACAAAACAAAAACCAAAGAAAGAAAAATCTAGAAAAAATTTGTCAGACATAAATTTTTATACAAATGTTACCATATCAGATATATCGTTTGCATGTTTAAAGCTGCACGCCTCCAGATGAGCCAAAATATTTCAAGAAAATCAATATTGAGAAAAATGTATTAAGGTAGACCATGGGTAATGGGCACCATAAGGAACTGTAAAATTGACAACATAGGACAGTTATATGTCTTCAAGGTCACCTGTATGCAAAATTTAAATAAAATTTACCGTGTGGTTTATGAGTTATGGATATATTTCTGAACTAAGACCTTGCCATTAGAAGGGCTTATTTTCAGAAATGAGGAAACTGTAAATAATCTGTAATATCATCATTATAAAAAATGTTTTTCTATTGCTTATTGTTAAGAAACAAATAATAACATTCAGGTAACACATTACACGAGCAAAATGTTTGTTTCTAAACAAAATGTTCTTAATATGTATAAAAATGTTACCCTACCCCACCCACTTTTAACACTAATTTTACCATTTCCCTATCTAAAATGCCTTATTCAAAATATCCCTAAAATTTATCGAAATGAGGGTCTGTTTTCAAAGTTTGCCTAAATTTTCTCAAAGGTATATTAGTTGATCATGCAAAATATAAAATACTTTTACCGTGTAGTTTTTATTTTATCGAACTTTGAAAATATCTGGTATCATATTTGCTATAAATTTTGGCATTATTTAGCAAAAAAATACCTAAAATAATTATATAATTTAAATTAAACTTTTTTTCTTCCATAAGGGATCAGAGGGATACATAAATAATGTTAAAAAGAAAAAAAGAAAGAAAAAAAAAGTTGCCCCTTCTGGGGTTTGAACCCACGCCCCTCAATTTCAATGTAGTTTACAAGCGATTCTAGCCTATTTGAATACTCTTCAAAGTGGAGGTAATGCATTACCCATGGTCTACCTTAACATTTTAAGAAAGGTAAAAAACATTCAAGATCCAAGTTAAATTTTAAATATTAAGTGCAGTTTAAAATTGATTTTGCAGAATTTTATCAACATATTTCTACTGTGTTACTAACGCAGTAAGGGCTGTTTTTGCATATGTTGACCTCCTTTTGGTATTTTCTTGGATTTCAATATGTAAATTACTTTATTTGTACACCTCTGACACAATATTTTACTGTTTAATACATTTCCAAAATTTTCATGAATCTGGAGGCATACTGCTTTAAAATATAAAGACTTCTGGAGATATGATATTTACCTCTGGAGTGTAATTAGCTATACCAGTAGATCTTCGCTCCCGTCGCATTCTACGACTGCGTATAGCTGCTGACTCGGGACGTTTGTCATCTTTATCACCCTTGTCATCTTTATCTATTTCTATAACAACAAAAATGATCATGTATATCACTCAATCAAGGGAAGGAGTATAAAATTCATTGGTTTGAAAAATATCAGAACTTTTTTGCTATTATAGTATACGGTAAACTTTATGCAAAAACATAACAATCATGTGTACATACAAATACACCCCTCCCCAAATTTCTCAATTTTATGTCTATCTAAAAATTCCTGAAATGTCCCTTTATGTTTTCGAAAGTCATAACTACATGTAAACCGTTTACCATTACTTTTATGGAGATTGCCAGTGTCTCTATGACACATAATAGCCTTTAATTTTCAACTTTGCTTGTAAAATAACATCTTAGATGCCGTTATTTTGGATAGGAGAAGTAATAATTACTTATAAATTATGTCAAAACATATTCATAAAGAAATCAGCTGTTTATCAACAATGTAAATGAAGTCTCACCTTTTTCTTTCTCTTTTTCGCGATCTTTTTCTCTTTCCCGACGTAATTCAACTCTGCTAGCATCGTCCTCTGTTGATCGTAATCTATCCGTTCGTAAAGATGTTGACCTAGTTAAATTAACACTTCCACCTAGACTAGTATTTCCTATATCTGCTACTGATAAGGCATTTCGTTCAGCACGATCTGAACGATTTCGAGGTACTTTTGCTGAAGAAATAGAGAGAGAATAAAAATTACATAAATATTGTGCAGATACAATAAAATTACAAAACCCTATGCTTGTCATGGTTCAAAATCATTTTTATACAAGTATTTTATGATTTCAGTTTTTTACGAGGCAAAAGTTGGTTTTACCAGTGTTTCTGGATATATCTGTCCTTCACAAAAAGCTACACTTCTCCGCACAACTTACTTTGAATCAGTAAAGTAAGAAAAAAAGATAAACTGAATCTATGTATTAAAATTTTATCAGCTGTTAATATATTGAGGTGTTGTAAGTCTTGTTATTAGAAACTTACTTGAATCTGTGGAATAGAAGCTACTAGAAGGAGCACTACTGGTAAGATCTCTTTCCGCGCGGGACCGTCGAAAACTACTACTTCTTGTAGCCGTATCATCCTATAACAAATAAAACAGTTTCTATCAATCAAGTGCCTTCGTAATAGATCTTAAACTAGCCTTAATAGTACCTGTAACTTGTGATTAATATATCACAGGTGTAATGGCTTACAACAAATGTATATCATTAGTACCGTATACATGTCAAAAGCATAAGTCAGTTTCAAGAATTGTCAGCAAATGCACACCATTTAAATGAGACCAACAGCAAAATAATATCATTTAAGAGGCCTTGTTGCAAAATACTTATAACTGCATCTTTATGTCATAAAAAGTAACAATCGTTACACTCAGAAACAGTGTTTCCTTGAAAATTGCATGTCAGATCATATTCAAAAGAGCTTTAATAAAATTGCGTATGAATATAGCAATAAACACAAAGCTTGGAAATTATTCTGCATTGAAAATTAAACATTGTCAGTTACAAAAGTCATAGTTAACATTTACTTCTTAGTGTGAATGTCCTTAAATATTATATACATGTACAGAGATCTGCCGAGAATTTGAAAGTACTGGGCCCACTTGGTCTGAAAATGATGGGCCATTTTGACCAAAGTACGGGCCTTGGGAAAATAAGTAAACATTGACTTAAATGACTGTTAAAATTTTTGTAGATAATTGAATTTCCTTTGTAATGGAACTTAAATCATATTTTATGACAAGTGGTTCACTTATGATTCAGTATAACCAATAATTAAAAAAATGCCTAGACAGTAAGTTTCTAACTAATATTAATTGCAGGCAAAACTTTTTTTCAAATGGCTGCTCAAAAATCTGATTTGCATAATTTATCCACATAATTTCTAGTGTCTAATACTGTGCATTATCCATTTAATTGTTCATACTAATAATTGCACCAAATGTCCCTGTCACAATGTATATTGACGGCTTTTATTACTCCTTGTATGCCTCTGTGTAGAGAGCATACATCAAAGACACTAGCCGACAGACTTTTTGATCATTGAAAAAGTCATGCATAATGTTTCCCTGATTGGTTTATCGCCCTGTCAAATATTCTGATGACGAAATAGACATATTTTTTTTACACTTCATCAGCCAAAGTGTGCGTGAACTTGAGTGACCTTAGGGGAATTCAAGATGTACACCTGTCAGATTATACTGCAACTTACAGCTTTTCTAAAAATAGCAACACTTTTTTTTTCAGTTACTGATAATCATTTTAAATATTAAGTAGTTGTATAATTTTTTTGTTTTGTTTGTTTTATTGATTAAATTTACGGTAGAAGAAATGAGTATTTGTGGTGGGAAAGGGATTATGAAAAGAAATGCGGTAAGTAGATAAAGTGAAACAAAAGGCTATAGGTGAATGGATAAACTCAAGAATATGCGTAATTACAGGGGGAATGGGTAACTGTTGCTGTCGGTACCAGTTTTGACTGGATGACTAAATAACCACAGCGGACAGTTTTTGTTTTTCATATAAGTCTGGCACAGATTTTAGATGCGCCCTTGGCCCTTTGCTGCCGATTTTCCTGCGCCATTCTCATTTTTTTAGCGCCAATGGCACAAAATCGCGTCCTCGGCAGATCTCTGCATGTATTTCTATAAAGACATTATAGTAATACCTGAAAAATACTTAATTAAGACTTCATCAAATTCACAACTTACGTCTTTTTTACTTCCTTCTATATCACGTGAACGACGCCATGAAGACAAAGAGGAGCTATCTGAATCAAGAGCGGAATTTGTCCGTCGTAAATTACTAGAAACATCCGCAGATAGTCGACTGCTAATGTCCCTATCACGAGATATAGTGTCTTTATTTACAGAGTCAGTTGTATCCTGAGATTTTCTATCTTCACTAGATAATTTTGTGCGATCCGTCGTGGTGGCCGATGAGTGTTTCACAGGGTCAATGGAGGGGCTTTTTCGTAAAACTTATTGGGTTTTTTGAAAACCCCTCAAGAGTGACACCCCGGTAATTTAAATCGTATTTTATCATTTAGCATGATAACAAGTTCTAAAGAATCATATTAAGTGATTTGGTGCTATGCAATAACTTTACATCAGAAGTGGGGAGTTATAAAATTGACAATTATCAATGTCTATTACAAAGGCTTTTGTTTTGAATAATTATTACATTATAACTGAACCATCCATTAATGTTTCTATGAAAATGGAAGTTCTACTAAAACACTAAATCCACAATACTCCAAATTACTTCTTATTACTTTTCCCATTTTCTGTATAATTTTTATTCATTCGTTTAGGAGACAGGAAAGATATCAGGTTATTGCAATCAGTAACATGTTGTTTTTTTATGAACATTATAATGATTGTACTAAAAGCTCATACTTGAGTAGACCTCCTAGTTTCTCTTGCACGTTTGGCTCGAACTTTTCTTAACATCTCAGTCTCCTCATCTCTTTTTGGCGGCTCGTACGACCTAGAGTAATTATAATATATGTGTCAATTGTAGGGTCATTACCTGATGTATCTTTGTGGTTCAGAGTTAATTTATTTAACTGTCAACCATTTTAGTTTGCAGAATGGACGGTCTCTGCTTGGAGCTAATAGCACACCATTGAAGTTTTAAGGAATTTGATGATCAAGGAATTAAAACTGAGCCGTCAACAGTATAGAATCTGGTCATGCTACAAGCTGACCTAGCTCTATACTGGTATCACAGTCCAGTCAATACTGCCGCACACATTTACACTGACAGTAAAAACATTTATAAGTTTTAAGTTTAGTTATTGTGCCATGCGGTGAATCAAACTGTCATATCTGTTAGATAAAAACCCTAGCAAACACATTACTATTATCAGGGTAATAAAATATAACATAATTGTTAGAACATGTATTGCAGAGATAATGAAATGAATGAAATATGAGCATCAACGATAATGTTAATTATTGACAATTAACAAAAACACAATTAAGACTTTGTTATAAACGTTCTAACAGGATGATTTGTTACGTACAATATGCTGACTGACTACAGACAAATATAATTTTCTTATTCTAAAACCACTTTTTAAGACCAGAAATATCCATCAAATTCAATACAAAGATTCTGGGTAAAATGTCACTCTTGTTTTATTTTTATAAAAATTTCAAAAAAGTTATTGTCTAAGATTGTGGCCATGTACTCATTATGAATATCATTTCAGTTTACTTACCTTTATTATGGTCTAGGGATGGTAACCAAGTTTTGTTTAGACAGAGAACAATTCAAGAAACAAGAATGAGAACCTCATTATATGAGACTAGTAAATATCAATATGAATGTGAAACACAAGATTCATCTGTTATATTATGCTCATTTTTTGACTTACAGTTTAAATTAAAAAGAGGACCCTGAGTTGAAATTAACTCTGACACCTGAATTAAAACAAATGGTTCAAAGCAAAACATAAGCTTAAAAATTAAAATATATGAAAGTTATGAGATATGCGGATATGATGAAAAATTAAATATAATGAATAATCTAAATAAATAATAAATGATTGAATAGATGTAAATGGATGAAGATGACAAACTTACTTCCGATAATGAGTAAATGAGGATGTTGGGGTAGTGATAGTAGTTGAACCAGATGTTGTTGTTGTTGTTGAGATAGTGGAGGACGTAGTTGATACTGGCAGTGATGTTGGCGCTGATATTCTATTATTCTCCTTATTTTCCGCTTCTTTGTCTGCCTTTTCCCGCTCTTTTCGTTCATTTTCAAGCTGTTGTCGTTTGTAATAGGGGATATAGGAGGACTGATAGGATGTTGTGGAGTTAAGACCGGACCCGGCAGAGTAGCGGTACGGGTTTGATAGACCCTGTGATCTGAAAGTATGAAAGGTGAAGGTCATGCAACATGCAGACGATTAGTATGTCAAACTCTCCAGCCATGCCAGAGATTATTGAAGCAATCTATGTATAATGTTATACAAAATGTGTAAATTATGTACAAATAAAAACAGCAAAATTGTGTGCTGACAAAATCAAATAGCTTGATAGTGTGTGTATACAAGACTTTTTAAGATAAAAATTGGTACCTTCCACAAAAATGTTCTGTCTGATATAGAACGGATTATTTTCTCTTTTTTTTTTTTAAATCATGAATTTCAACATAATCAAAATAATATCAAATCCAAACATAAAAATATCATTACTTTTTTCATCAATTTTGTTTTACATATTTCATAATTTGGTAGAAAACATGTAAAACAAGATGGGCTATCTGCTGCCCCCCCCCCCCCACCTTCCCCATTTTTTTCAGTTACAATGTTTCTGTGATATCATATGCCTAATCACACAAAGTTTAAACAAGAAACATGGCAATGCCATGAAACCAGGTTTTCAATTATCACCATTGTAGATAAATATGTTGTATTTGAAATACAAATACAAGCAATAAACAATGTAACTATGTGCAATGTAAAACATGAATAATGTAGGAGGAATTGCCACAGAGGAAGTGTTCACTATAATTATATTCTGTATAAGGAAAAAAAACAAAGGGCCATAATTAGATAAAAAATTATCCAATCACAAAACCCCGACAATATGCGCCAGGGCACTGGATGACAAAGCTTCTGTGAAAGTTTGAACAAAATCCGTTGAGAAATGTAGGAGTTCAGCACAGAAGAATTTTTTCACTATATATTCTGTATAAGGAAAAAAAACAAAGGGCCATAATTAGGTCAAATATTATCCAATCACAAAACCCCGATAATGTGCGCCAGGGCACTTGATAACAAAGCTTCTGTGAAAGTTTGGTCAAAATCTGTTGAGAAATGTAGGAGAAGTTGCGCATGGTAAAAATTGTTCACTATATTATCTGTATTAGGAAAAAAACAAAGGGCCATAATTAGGTCAAATATTATACAATCACAAAACCCTGACAATATGCCCCCAAGGCACTTGATGACAAAGCTTCTGTGAAAGTTTGGTCAAATTCTGTGGAGAAATGTAGGAGGAGTTGTGCACAGAAAATTGTTCACTATATATATCCTATATTGGGAAAAAAAACAAAGGGCCATAATTAGGTCAAATATTATCCAATCACAAAACCCCGACAATATGCGCCAGGGCACTTGAGTACAAAGCCTCTGTGAAAGTTTGGTCAAAATCCATTGAGAAATGTAGGAACAGTTGGGCACAGAAGAAATTATTCACTATATATTCTATATAAGGAAAAAAAACAAAGGGCCATAATTAGGTCAAATATTATCCAATCACAAAACCCCGACAATATGCGCCAGGTCACTTGATGACAAAGCTTCTGTGAAAGTTTGGTCAAAATCCGTTGAAAAATGTAGGAGGAGTTGCGCACAGAAGAAATTGTTTACGCCCGCCCGTCCGCCCGCCCGCCGACATACCTCAATCTAATAACCAGTTTTTTCCTTCGGAAAACCTGGTTAATAAATCCTTTAATCCTATGAACCAGATTTCATTCTGCTTATTATCTACATGTATACGAAAACTGTAGCAAATTTATAAAACATAGTAAGAGAACTTCACAACATAAGTAACAACAGATTTTCTCTCCAAGTTTACTGTGAATGTTAACACACATTAAACACAGTGACTGATGGTCAACTCCATAAAACTTTCTCAAATAAATCATGAATTGCTAAAATTAAACGAACAATATGCAGTTTGCTTCCCATAAATATTGCAACTTTTATAATGTTAGGTACGTTTTAATTTCATTACTAAACAACAATATTTAAAACAAGAGGGTCATGATGGCCCTGAGTCGCTCACCAGAAACAACTGCTTTTCAGTGTTGGAATGTCAATATATTCTAATATTAAATTTGAACATAGAATATGTTTAAAACATAATTTGAAGAAATGCCATGACATGGGGCATTTAAGCTTTAGCTTAAACGAGGCTAATCAAATTAATATGAGCAAACTTGATAAAAGACTACCTAAGAATGCTACAAAGTTTGGTGATCATCTATCAATTATTTCAGTAGGAAATGATGTTCGAAGGTTTTTTCTATTTTAGCATTAGTGGCCCGTAAAAGGGGCTTATCAAATTAATATAAGCAAACTTGATAAAAGAGTACCCAACAATGCTACAGACAAAGTTTGGTGATCATCCATCAATTGGTTCTGAAGAAGAAGATGTTTAAAGGTTTTTCTATTTTTAGCTTTAGCAGCCCATAAAAGGGGCCAATCAAATTAATGTGAGCAAACTTGATAAAAGATTACCCAAAAATGCTACAGACAAAGTTTGGTGATCATCCATCCATTAGTTCTGTAGAAGAAGATGTTTAAAGGTTTTTCTATTTTTAGCCCTAGAGACCCCTAAAAGGGGCCAATCAAATTAATATGAGCAAACTTGATAAAAGACTACCCAAGAATGCTACAGACAAAGTTTGGTGATCATCCATCCATTAGTTCTGTAGAAGAAGATGTTTAAAGTTTTTTCTATTTTTAGCACTGCTGACCCCTAAAAGGGGCCAGTTAGAATGACATGAGCAAATTCAAGTGTGACTGTCACAAGGATGCTACAGACCAAATTTGAAGTAAATCTGCTTGGTAGTTTCAGAGAAGAAGATGATTGTTGACGCATGACGACGGACAACGGAGCATCCCCCTTTGATACTAATAGCTCACCCTGAGCCTTCGGCTCTGGTGAGCTAACAATTCTTTTAATGTCCCATGACTGTGACTTTTCTATAGGCGTAGATAACCCTGTAAAACATAACTTAGGAACATCATTGACAAGATAATCGTCTTGACTAAATATATATGCACTTTGATTATCTGTCCATACTTTCTTATAATACTGCATGTTTGTGACATCACTTTTCGTGACGTTTATATAGATTTATAAACATGGCTGCTGTCAATATATGAGGGAATCTCACTTTTTTCTCCAAAATAAGATGCTTGCTGTATTATAAATTTGTTATAAATATTTCTGACAGGTTATATGGCCATATATAAATGACTGTTTGCAATATAACCCTCGCCTTATATTACCAAACAACCATTTATATGGGGCCATTTAACCTGTCAAAAATATTTATAACTTATAAAATATCTGTACTACAGAAAGTCTGTCACACATATATTTACTTCCTGTCCCAAAAAATGGTACTCTACAAGCTTGGAGGGGAAAAAATTGAATAAAAGTTTGCACATTATACAATAGCAGCAAATTTAAATTTGTTTCTGAAAAAAGGACAATTACAATACAGAGACAAAAAAAAAGTAAATTTCATCCATTCAATATTACATGTTATAATAATGAAAATATGGAGCTACATTGTATTTACATATATTCTATGATAAAATTGTGAATATTTCACGCTTTAATTATGCAAATAATAAATTCAATTAGGCATTCTTTAAATTAAAGAAATATATATGCATAAAGAAAGTTGTATGATCCACTAATAAAAATGTAGCTGAATATTATAATAACAGAGAGAAAGAAGAAGAAATATAGAATAGTTTGGTGGGACAGGAGCCTGAAAATAGAGAGAAAACAAACAAACAAGAAAACAAATAACAATGAACAATTGGCTATCCTAACATTTCTAGTCAGATATTTCACCGTAATAATGTTTTTAAAATACTTCCAAATAGCTATTCTTTTGTATGAAGCCATTATTGGAAGTTTTTTTGTTTGTTTTTTTTTTACTTGGAAATAAGCTCGAGACCAAAATATGAAGTAAATGATTAATCAAACTGTATTCTCAACCACTTGTATATGTGTTTATGTTTGTTTTTCACCATTGCCTACGGAAAAATTACCAAATTGGTGTGCATATTTCAATCGCTTTGAAAAATCTTAGTTTTTTTAATGCTACCCAATTTCTGCTCCAATGAAATCCAATAATGCATTTTTAACCCCTCCCACTAGTAATAAAAGTAATCATGTGACTTACATTACAACCAATCAAAACTAGGCTATTTATATCTCCAAATTATTTTTGCTAGCAAAGATAGCTGGAGAAGCCACTTCTAAAATCATTGTGATTATATCAAGAAACAATAGCAAAAGTATACATTACATACCTAAAGCTTTTAAAATATATTATATTATAATTATCCTCATATTGTGCATGGCTTCAAAATTTTTAAAAAAAATTTTCCTCATGCAAAAAGTTTTTCTGCGTCAATTCCTAATAAATAATTTCAAATATTCTAAATCCTAAAGTAAAAGAGAAAGTAAATTCATTGAAGATAAATCAATTTAATTTTTAAATTATTTACAATTTATACATGTACTTTGATCATAGACCTTTTTAATTGGCAAACCTGTAGAGCAGTCTGACCAGGCTCTATACTGTTGGCTGATAAACTTTAAATTTTCATCTTTATACCCCTAAAATTGATCATGGACTGTCCCAAAAATAGAAGCTGCACAAATCCATTTAAAAATTCAACAAATTAAGGGTTAGAACAGTTGAAATTAATGTGTTTTATTTTTATTATTCCTTGTTCATTCAGCAGAGCAGAGAATATAAGCAGTGAAATAAAGCCAGGACAATTTAACTGGTAAAACAATTTAGGAGAAAATGGTGACTTTAACATTTGGATAGGGTTGAAAGCGAAATTTGGTACAGTTGAGTTAAAACAATTATACGTTTAAGTTTAATTGAAAAAAACCCACAAATTGCAACTTATATTTATCATTTCAAGTTAATTTCCTGGAACTGACCGGTACAGGTGTCATATGAAAAAACATGGTTGTGACATAAGTAGAGCTCAAACCCATGATCCATGGGTTGACATGCAGACACCTTAACCATTAGGCAATACCCCCCCCCCCCCCTTTCCCTCATGAGCATATTGTGAAAAATGGCCGTTTTCATTGAAAAGCCTCCTGTTACAAGTTCAAACTGCTATGAAACTATGAAAAATGCTTCAATACTAATCAAACTTGGCACAAATGTTGACTGGACCATTGACTTTATAACGACATGCTGAGTCTTAAATTTCCTGTTACCATGGCAACAAGGGGACATCTCAAAATTGCCAAAAATCACTATTTTGCCTCAATCAAAGTTTATTTCAAAGTGCTACAACTTCTCAAGGGATTGATCTAGAGTCAAAGGCTTTTCAGCGTTGGTTACATGTTACCTTATGATCGACCTGGGGTCATTTTTAGCCTCTCACAAGTCCAAAATTTTTCTTGGTGATGAGGGGGACAGAAGGGGGCACATCTCCCTTCTGGCAACCCCCTGATGTATCTTTTGGATGGGGGGGGGGGGGGGGGTGCTGCCGAAAAAGTGCTCACTTTTTGAGCAACATTTCTCAAACGAAAACATGTGTTTTGGGCCCATATAGGACATTTTTTCACTGACGCCTAAAAAGGGGGGGGGGGGGGGAAGTGCATTGTTTAATGAAGTTTTCTAGACCATATGAAACTTTTTTCTGTATTTACTACCATTTAGGTCATATAACAACAGTTGACATATACCTAAAGTAATTCTGTATACTAATCCAGAACTAACTTGTTTTTATGTAATCAAAATAAAGAAAATGGTGAAGTATAATACATCAACACCAGAGCTAGTTGCAGTTATTTATTTTCTACCGGTTCGGTCCTATCGAAACCTTTATTCTTTTCATGTTTTTTACCCCCCCCCCCCCTCCAATTCTGTAATTCACACACCTAATTCTCATATTCATGACAAGTTTTCGTTTGTTTTTGTTTTTAAACTATATGCTTCACTACTAGTTTATGCTAGCAACTATACCCTTTTTTATTGAGCTGAATCAATACAGCTTTTTGCAATAATTGTCATGTTTCAACTACCAATATATCACATCATGTTATATCTAAACTTTATTAACAACTAACCATTCCCAGTTTCTTTTCCCATATCCATCTTTACCCAAATCACTACTCATGCTTTTTTCTAAAATATTATCTATTTTCCATCTTAAGACTTAGTTAGGTGTATTTATTTCTTGGAAAGGCTAGTACTTAAGTCAAATGAGGATATGTGTCTTCTTACTAGTAGGGCCCTAATGGAAAAAAAATTCCCCAAGTTTAAGACACAGCATTATAAATTTTTCTTTCCCATTTAAAGTTTCTGAGGTTATCAGAAAGTCATGTGGCCATGATAATTTTTCATGATAAAATAACCAACATAATTAAGAAAACTTTAGTGACATGAACCAAACAGTAAATTTGACCTTTACTTAGTCATGGTGGAGGCCTTGCAAATTAATACAAGGTAGAATTTGACACAAATGAAAGTATTAGATTCGTAAAATTTAGTATAACAGTGCAGAGTCACAGCTCCCTTAACAACCAGTCATTTAAGGTAATTCTATTTGCTCCAACATACTGGCATTATAAACCCCCCTTCCCCCCAAATTTCTCAACCATAAGCATAAAGGAACCATTTAAAGCTGAGGGTAGTCAAATTGACAAAGCCAACAAGATGGAATACATCTGGATACAGTATAAACAGTAAACTGTACATCTAACTTAAAAGTTACACAAACCTTCTCCATCGCTGAAGTCTATATTACATGAAACAAAATTGTTGGTTGAAACAGTCTTATATCATACTGAATTATAATAACATAAAAAATCTTTTAATTCACATAGGCCTTGTTAAATGTTGTCTTTGAAAGTCTTAAATGTTTTTAAAAATCTTTTGTTAAAACAGTAAATACTTCTTTTTTCTAATGAGTCAAAACTAAAAAGTATTAAAACATTGCAACCAATTATTATTTTTTCATTGTATACTGTTTTATTTTGGGTATATGATAAATAAAAAATATTTGTGTAGCTCCATTACTAATTTATTGAACAAGTTGAATAGAACTATACTGGCATAATTTTATTGAATTGTTCAATTAATTAAGTATGAAACCTACACTCATTCTAAATACTCTATATAAATCATACAAAAATCATTTTTGTTGAAATAGTCTATTCATACATATTTTCCTGTGAATTCTTGCCCTAAAAGTGTTAAGATCTTGTAAAATTCTCAAATAAAAACCCCGCAAAAAATACAAAATAAAAAAAAAACTTCAACATAGCAGACATTTATGATATATAAGGGAAGTAACATGATAAATAATACAAAGTTTATTATGTATTTTTTCTATATGTAACCATGGTAACAAGAAGGAATGTACCCACCTTTCGCTTACACTAGAGTTGTTGTTGTCGGCAGTCGAAAATGAGGAAGAACTGAGATATGGGCGTCTGGTAACAGGTTTATCCTGCATTAAAACAAGTCTTGAATCAATAGCAAAGTCAATAAATTACCTGCAAACATTGTTTTAAACATTCTGTACTATATTAATCAAATCTAAATTGTAAATTATAGTTGTAAAATTTAAGGAAAACTTTATGAATGCAAATTTCATAAAATTTTATCAATAAATCCAATTACTTTTTTTTCCAAATCATTATCACTTGTGTATTGTTCAAAATGAGTAATTAATTAAGTCCAATGAATGGAAATTCTATTTACTTATATCATGGCAGCTTTACAGTAGAAATTAGATATCTAATATTTGTAAGTTATGTATGAATGGTCATGAAATTGAACCATTTTGTGTAAGATACAGTGCAATGTGTAAAAGCTCTGGGTGAAATGGGAACAAAAATTCATAGTATCATTTTAACAAATATGAAATAATATAAAATTCTGGTAATGAAGGAGTAACAAGTAACAAAATTGTCTTAATTTTACTCCAGTGCAGCTTTCAGTTATCCAAATGTAAGTAAGTAAATAAATAAAATGGTTTTATTCAGGTTTTGATGTCACAATGTTATATACATGTACGTTCAAAAACGGAGAGTAGCAAGTTTTATAGAGAAAAATTGTCATGTTATTATGAAAGCATGTCTACCAGAAATGTTATTATAAAAGCATGTTTACCAGAATTTTACTCTCTTTTTCTTTAACATGGTGTAAACAAATAACAATGAAGCAGTTAGTTGTTACATGATAAAGAGGGTGGTTAAAGAAAACCCAGCAAAAACTGACTGAGCATTCAACAACTGTCTCAAATAAATTAACTGTTCAATGCCAATTTTTCAAAAATATAAAATTCAGTACCAAAGCCTCTGTTATCCCCTGTAAACTTACATTCTTTTCATTTTTCTTATTTTCATCCTCCTCACCAATTCTTGGACTCGAAGCGGACCGAGGTAAATTTTTATCCTCTTCAATTGGCTTACTCACTGACGAGTCATGCGGAACCATGCTTGTACTGCCGGTTTTCCGCAGGCCAAGCCGCCACGAGGGAATCTCATTCTCACCCTTATTGTCGTCTCTCAATAATTTCTTGTTAATGGAAATCTTTGGTACCTGAACGTCAAACATGCAGAAAACATCAGCCCACAAGCCATCACTCACAAAAATAACAACACAATTCAAACAAAAACCTTAAAATCTGTAAACAGTGTCCAATTCAAAGTGAAGCACTATGGACTTGCAATTTAACTAAATTTGCAAATTGATGTAAAAAAAATGAGGCCCTGACTTATAATGTTCAAACTATAAATATCTATGGTATTTTAGAGAACAAGCAGGTAACCAAGGCAACAAATGCTTTTTGGGATACTGGCCTCCATATTAGAAGCAAACTTACAAACAATAAATATGTCAAATTTCATTTCTTTTATCCAAAAGTAAAAAATATTTGCATGACAAATTCTTTAATAATAAATGACCAAATATTCACAGACATTCAAGATTTATATATTTAATTTAGTGGGCAGGACAGTGTCTCAAATAGTAGGTCCAGTGGTAACATGCTGGACTAGTAATCAAGAGGTGGCAGGTTCAATTCCCTACTCCTCCTTTAACAATACCGATGAGACCTTAAAGACAGGAGGTCCTGTGTACTATTGCTCTACACCAGGAAAGTGAAAGAACCAGGGTAATTTCTAGAATGGGGCAATTACTGTATAACACACAAACCAGAAAATAACAACTAATTCTGGAGGTTGTATCACAATATGGGCAACCCAACAGGATAGTTAACGAATCACATGTATCATCTGTTCATTCCATACCATCTTATAGGAATTAGGACAAACAGTGGGATAAGAGGACAGATGTCGTGGATGTTGGATGTAACAAGGTGGTAGACCACATGTCTACTTTGATATTGAGGATTTAAAAAGTGCTATCTAGTTTAATCAAAGTATTTAAAGGACTGACAAAATGTGATAAGCATGCCTAATCAATAAATTTTTCTGATTTACTTTTAAGGCACTGGTTTTATCTTAACAGTTATGTGTATGAATATTGTTGTTCTTAGGCCAAAACAACATAGCCTTTCAAAAAGTTTCCTGATAATTTCAAGAAAACAGACAATAAATCAATTGGTGCTTTCAGTGGCAAAAAAATAACAACAATAGCAACCAAATCAATCATAATTATATGCAGCAGAAATTACAAAATTATAAAGCACATCATTGTAAAACATTGACAAAAAATATTTCATAAATCATTAATTTAGAGTGAAATCAAAGTAAATTGGTAAAAACTGAATAAGTACTTAAGTTTTAACATTCATTTTCTTGACCTTGTATATTTCATACACAATTTACATGCATAGCAGTATAGACTGAGAAATTACTTGGAAAGTTTTCCACAAGAGGAAAAGGGAAATACAAGTTAAGAAAGCAGCTGATTTAGGAAGTGTTTGTTACTATATTATTTGACTAACATAACAGAAAAGGGAACAATGTTACATAAACAGGAGTTTGAAAAGTAAACATGTAAGTAAAGCAAAGCATAACAATAATTAAGAACAAGACAAAATTAACATACCTGGAAGAGAGGGGGGAGAGCAAGCACTGTCTAACATAGTCTTGGTTATAAATTAACTTACCTTCACCTCTCATACACACTTCTCAGTGATTTTATTTAACATCTGATGAAAATTTCAACTGACCTGATTGAATTTTCTAAATCTAAAGTTTACCTCAGGAAATAAACAAACCAAAAGCACAGCAAAGCTCTATTTTTTCCCCAATGATTCTAGTAGTTATTCTTAAATTTGTATTTTAATATACTATAATAGTAAATGTCTTATGTATAACTGTGTGCATGGTCCTGAGGCCTTACATAAATAAAAAATAAACCGAGTTGTTGTTTTCTTATATATTACAGGAAGTATTCTTTAGTGGAATTTGTCATAAAAGGTGACATTTTGTGGACTTTGCATCCTAGTTCATCGTCAGTTAAATGTATTAAATGACCCAACAATTGAATTAAACTAATTTCTATTCCAATTTCATCATTTTATTGATTATTTTATTGAATAGTACAGAAATGCAAGATACATGGGTAACTAGCCTATATGCCATTTGCAGAGAAAACAAAACTGTTGTAACCATTTACTTAACTTAACATTAAATAATCTTTAATGAAAAGATTAAATGCTCAATACACAAATACTGACTAATGTATGATAGTGGGCAATGTTACCATTAAAAAATATAAATAAATGAATAGCACAAATCTACCTTTCCTTTTTTCTGATGTGTGTAGAAACAGGTGAATAGCAAAGTTTTTACAAAGGTGAAATATTGATTAGTTATAATGGTGACATATAATAATGTGCAATGTCCCTGAAAATATATCCTCATTTTGTTACAAGATTTAAGAAAATAGGTTTGAATTACAGTTCTGATGTATTAGATAGGGTTTATTTGATGATAACAGATATATTAGTTTCTCCGCAAACCACATTGCAAAGAGGGGTTTCTGGTTAATATGATGTTCATGCACGTGCAGAAGATTTTCAACACAGCAGCACGTGCAAGGTGCATTTACCTCTGTCACGCTTGGCGGAGCGCTGACGGTTCGCTTCAGACCCTCTCGATCCTTTTTAGGAGCAACATTTTCTATCAATGGTGTTTCTTTATCACTTTCAGTCCCCTTGACCTTTTCATTGACCTTGACCTTTTCAGTATCTTTGTTGACCTCTTTTTTCTTCTCCTCATTAAGGTCAACTTCTTTCTTATCTTCTTTGTTATTATTTACAATTTCCTTATTTTTTAACGTATCCTCAATTTTCTCTGGTTTCACCTTGTTCTGATCCTTCTCCTCCTTCTGAATTTCCTTTTTGTCCTTTTGAATGATTAAAATTATAGTAAAATGAAACCCTGAATTAAAATGAGTAATATTGCTTCAAAACCTTTTTATACATAGGTATCTAAATCATACACCAGTAGCATGTTCTGTGACATTTTCATACAACACCACATTATAGCTCTGTCTAAATTAAGACTGAAATTGCAACTAACAGACATTTATTTCACAGACACCAATCATTGCCAATTTCAGCGTGTCATAAATATCAACTACCTTAATTCAAAACTATAGTCTATAACTATAGCTTTTAAAACCTAGGATTTGAATATTATATATGGGATGGCATGCATTTATCAATGTAAATAACCCTGAACCTGATCAATTATGGAATGAACTTGCCTTGCTTTGAGATTGGAACATTCCATTTGAATTTGGAGGGATTTCAAAATAACACAAAGAAAAATATCAAAATTGAGCAACCAAACAGTAAAGAACCTGGTAGCCTGGTCTGACTGCACTGATATATAGGCTTGCCTGGCTCTACACTTATTGCAATGGCTTATCATTTTTTGGTTCCAACAGGTTAAGGATTAGTGGGTGCTTCTCATGCAATAATACATATATGTAACTTAGGACTACACAATTGGCACATGCATTTTCTTTTCTTTTTTTACATTTATGACAAAAAGAAAGCTTACCTTTTCACTGCAACATACTGATATTATTATAGTGAGTGTTTGTCCATAAATAATTGATAAACTATTTACATTAATCCACTTACCTTTTTTTACATTTTCCTCTTTTTTTTCTTCTTTTATTTCCACATTTGAATTTCTCATTTTTTATTATTTATTTCTGACTTTAAATGCTGAACAAAATGTCAGGAACAAATTGTCCAATTTTAAGCCAGAATGTTTTTCTCTACATTTCTTTAAAACCTTGCACCAAGCAATATATCTAATACAACATTTTGTTAGCTTTGCAAGTTTTTGGTGTTTGAACTTTCAACAGAAATAAAGGATTCAGACTAAAGATGTATGAATTATGTGAATAAAAAAAAAGCGTAAGCCAAGTTACATACAAAATTCTTCTAAGTATATCCTGTGGCTGATAGAATTTGGTTGTTTTGTAACAAAAACCTTAGTTAAACAAAAGGAGCTTGGAATATACTTCTAAGCTGGGCATGTTAATTAAGACACATGGTTTGCCCGCAGCCCATCATAGAAAGAAATGCAAAGAATGCTATTTCTTTTTTGAAAATTTCATCCACAATAAATGAAGGATGTATCTTACATTTGTTTTTATATTCTCCAAACAACCAACACAAAAATAAACTTTATGAAATAAAACCTGAAACAGTCCAACTTTGCACTTTTTAGCATCCTCTCTCAAACAATATATAAGTATAGACTTAGAAAAACAGTCTGCGTAAATGTCCATTTTACACATAAATTTACTTACATTATTGAATATCTTGTCTTTCTTGAGACCATCACCTATAACTTCTGTCTCTTTCTTAAGTTCATTCTTAATCTCTTCATTTTCATCGTCCATAAATTTAATATTTTCTTTCTCTGACGGTACATCAGACTCCTCAATTTTGGGCATTTCTGGGGTCTGTTTCTCTTTAATTTCCACGGTTGTCATAATTGGGGGCTTGTCCCGGTCCCGTGGCTAAGCATGCGTGAAAAATGTACAGGTATATAGCACACAACACAAAAAAACAGTATACATGTGGCATACGTGCACTTGAAGCAAGTTAATGATGCTTTCAACCCAATTAACCCTCTTCTTTAAATATATTTAAAGGCCCAGATCATTAAAGAGTTAAAATCCTAAAATAAAGTCATGAAAGCATCTTAAGTGATTGTAAGACATGTACCTCTTACATGTAGACTAATACAAAATATGCCTGCCTTTTGTCAGATTTCCCCCCTACACAAATTAATCAGTTGTGAGCCTTAAGCAACAATACTGACAAATATTTTTTTCACAAAACAAAAAGCTCCAGATTTATAGCAGTTCCATTGATGATGAAAAATTTTCACCATCAATTCACAAGCTTAAGATCTTTATAAAAAAAAACTTAAAGCACCATTTTTAAAGGTAAAACTTTGAACTCATTATTCCAGTATGATCAATTTCAAGAATGCCTTTTTGTATTGTAATGGACCAATCAATTCAAATAAAGTCAGTACAGTATTCAAGAATAATTCAATATTATGAACTTATATCTGCATTGGAATGAAACAAGCTAATCAAAAGAAGTTTGTTGTATCTGTATATAATTTGGTAAAATAAGCAACTAACTATAAAATAAATTTATCCAAATATGAATTAATTCTTGCTCAAACATAAAGATTCCAAAGTTTTTTATTCTTAGATCATTCTTGATGAGTAGAATACAGATTATAAATTAATAATTTTATAATATTCTTTTTCCTGATTTGTTAAAAGGTCTTTACAGGTGACATACATTTATCAAGAACCTACAAAATTCACATGTAGTTCATGTCTTCTTTTTCAAACAACATAAAATCAAATATGACATTCTTCAGAAATTATCTCATTTTATAGTATACATCAATTGTGATAATTGTGAAAACTAAAATTAAAGTGTTTTACTGTTTTATAAAGAACCCATCTATAATAGTAATTTTTTCAATCTGAAAAACCAGTCTAAACACACTGGCAGTTGATTGCTTAATTTTTGAATTCAATTATGAATCCACTAAATCTTTTTTTCTTGTAAATAGGAAAATATAATTGTAATGGTTTTGAATTAAAAACTTTAGTTTTATGCAATCAGTATGATAATATTGCTGAGCAAGAGTGAAAAAAGACTCAATATTTTGGCCATTTAAATAACCATAGAATCTTAAAGAAACAGTAGTGAGTACTGTGTATAAATCACAATTAATAAATATATGCTGAAGAACATCATTTTGTGTTAATTTCACTAAGGACATGTCAAATGATATATTTTGTATTCAGTAATTTCTACATGCCTAACACAATTCAACTGTATGCAATAACCATGCCCTTGGAAACTATATCTCTTCAAGTCTAACAGTCATCTGCTCTAATCCTAATCTATATTGACCCAAATTTTATTCTTTACCTATAGAATTAATATTTTGTCACATTTTGCGCCACTGGCGAGCGACAACGGGAATCCTGTATATATATTTCAGCAGGCGTTGATCAGCGACATAAGTGCTTTACATGTATCTTTCTATATGCATCATAAATGCCGCTTAAGTAGGCCAAAAGGCCTAAAGCTATGGCAAACTAAAATGAACATTATTAAATATACATCGCTAATATATCTTTTAAAAGATTCAATATATAGAAAATATAAGAAAATATTTCTATGTTTTAAGACAGATTTAGATACCTGATTCTGTTGAGACGACTTTTTGTTGATTTCATTCTTTTTCTCTGTAAGATGAAAAGTCATTGTCAAGATAGTTTTCTTAAATTGAAAATTATATTCCAGTAAAAAATTTAATTTGAACAGCGACACTACCAATTCAAACTTTAATGCTGACATTAACACATATTAATTGTTATATACTCATGTTTTAGCATTAGTTTTCTTAACTGGAAAATCTTATTACTAAAAATTTAATTTGAACTGGGACTTTAATGATGACATTAACACATTTTAATTGTTACCGGTACATTACTAATGTTTTACCAATGATATTTCATTTCAAACTGTATTATAGTCAGGTTATATTGTTTGATTAACATTATTACTATAAAATTTTAGACATGATATTAAAACTTTTTCAATTATGAATGCATATATACCTATCTGACATTTACCTGTTTCAGATTCTGTGGACGATGTTTCCTCCTCCTCGCTACACGAGCTGGAACTACTTTTTGCCTTCTCTTCCTCTGGCGGGATCACATCAAGAGTTCCCCGCTCCTGCCCGTCAACACTCTTCATCACATTATGCTTCTGTTCAACACTCATACGTGTTACTGAGCTCCTGTAATCGTGAACAATACCATGTAATTAGTGAATGAAAATAATTCCTTGTGACAGCTAGGATTTATCATAACACTGTATGTTAGTTTCAGCACTTTGATAAATCCTTGAAATGTATTAATACATAATGTTGTAATTAGTATAAAGAATTACAAGTTTTGCATGGTCAAATGTTTGTGAAACCACACAACTGTAAACACTGACTTTATATCATGACAAAATCTACAATAATGGCAACTGTCAAATATCAAATTGCTGTTTAAAAAATTCACTAACTGAAACTGATCATTTTCCAAACCATTCCTGGCTTTACAAACTGTACTGTTATTTTCATTCATTTTTTCAAGAGCCTCAAAAAAATAAGTGTGGACAACAAAATAAAATCACTGTATCAATGTAAACCTGTGGTAACTTTGTCTCAAAATTTCTGAATTCAATTAAATCTTCAATATTTGTATTAAATACATTACCCCAATGCTGTACATTAAAATGAAATCAAAATTCTTCATCAATAATGTTTACATTTTGCTGCATTACTTAATGGTACACACAACATTTGATCCAGCAAAACAAAGTAATCTTTTACATCTTCGAACATGCAATGGGTGGTTTACAAATTATATAATATGCACTGCATTCATTTATATGCACGCAGATTCACAACTCAAAAATAATGTCCTAAACTGAAACACATTTAACACAAAACTTACATTAAAACAACCCTAAATCAACCAGTAAGTGAAAAGTATTTAACATTATTTAATGTTCATGTTGTGGGGAGAAAAACAACAAAAGTTATTACAGAAAAAAATCAGTTGTTTTAAAAAATGATTATTGATCAATAACTTATTAAATTCCTGCCACCAAAAATGCGAAACAAATAAAATATATCAAAACAATCCTGGTTATAGGCTATTTTATATTATTTGAAGGTTTAAGCCAAACGTAACACTTTCAAAAGTTATTCATTTAGCACATGTAAAAATAACACATCGGGTTTACTTGTTACCTCAATTCACACATCGAAATGTCAGAAAATAAGAAGTTTCCTTATTTTAGAAAAGCTGTCATAGTTATTTCAAAGGACTCCACTGAGATTTTTTGACATGATGAGACTGAAAATAGTTATCCAAGATTTATGTACCAATTGATGTAGAATGAGCCGATAAATTGTATGCAAAATTTCAGCTCTTTCCCTCACCCCAGTTTCCCAGAGTTATTATTTAAATTGTGAAAAACAGCCTAAAAATAAAGGGTTTAAAACGCTTTTAACTCAAATCGGGCTAAGAATCGCCTAAAAATATGATTTTTCAATCCAAGTCTGTATGTACTTATATTATTTCTTTCTTTCTTTTTTTCTTTTTTGTTTTGTTTTGAACGCTTTTGTTGATATATATTATTATTTCAAACTTAATATTTTTAGGATAATGAACCTCAGTGGGGTTCCTTTAAGCAAACAGAACAAATATACCTGTTGGGGGTTTGGTGAGGATGGTACCTATATATTTAATAATGGTCAACAAAATACGTCCAATGATATTGGTTGCTCATTTATACTGTATGTTAGGAAGTTGAGATGTAGTTGTGGACTGGCCAGTAGAAATGTGTTTTGTTATTTCAGTTTCAATTTTAGGTAAGAGAAATAAGTTTTGTTTGAAAATAGAGAATTGTTATAATCTACATAGATTCCTAAATAACATTGCCCTGGACAATCCAAACTTAAGGAAAACCAGATATAATATGTATTTAAAATAGAAAATAAAATATATTAGTGATTTTTTATTTATTTATTTTTTTTTTTATTAAATTTTGAAATACACAAATGTACAATGTAAGTAAGAAATCCATAAACAGACAATTATAATTAACTTTTAAAAAAAAAAACAAATGGTATAAATTATACTTTTTTCAAATTGTAAGGGCAGAAAATTTTCCAGCTGTTGGAAAAGAGGATAATAATTATTTGAATTATTGGGGAGAATTATTTAAACAGGGGCAGAGAATTATGTGAAGCAAGGGGAAAGAATAACTTGGAAAAAATTTAATTTACAGTAGGAAGATACTTTTTTAATTATATTAAAACAAAGGTTAACAAATTATGAATATCAAAGTAAGTCAATGTTAGGATGTTAACTAAAACGGTACCTCTTGTGCAAAACCGGCTTTGTACCGGAATCAGGCATATCGGGAGCTGAATTCCTTTAAATTAATACATATGAAAGTGTTACTGACTAAATGTTAAACTATATTGAAAACCCATAACAAGTATTTATCATTTATCATCACACAAACTGTCTAATTCTACTTTTATTAAAGCATCAAACATTGTGGTTTATATTTTACGTTCAGTATTTTTAAGTCAGCATTAAAACTGCTCATATAGGTATGTTTTGCATGCAATTTTTCCCTATAATTTTAGATTGCCTACATGCTATAGACAATGTTAGATGTCCATCTTTTAGATAGTTTCCATATTGGAAACTTTTTTAATTAGAACCATAAAGGCATGATGTTATTAGAGCCGGATGCCGTAGCAAGATCTCAACACACAACTATTTTTAAATTGTTCATTGTAATATAAGCATATAGAATATATTGTGTGTTGAGACCCTGACAATACCTGAGAGCCATCTTAACTCTCTCTCGTAACCATAAACGTCTGTAAACATACACATAAACTTTACACATAACAATACACAAAACCATCTGTCATAATTATAGAAAACACATACCTACCTGATTATCAACATTTGAGCCGCATCATGACAAAACCAACATAGTGGTTTTGCGACCAGCATGGATCCAGACCAGCCTGCGCATCCGCGCAGTCTGATCAGGATCCATGCTGTTTCCTATCAGTTTCTCTACTTCTTATAGGGTTTGTAAGCGAACAGCATGGATCCTGATCAGACTGCGCGGATGCGCAGGCTGGTCTGGATCCATGCTGGTTGCAAACGCATTACGTTGGTTTTATCGTGACACGGCTCATTTGTTTTTAAAACAAATTTTGTAAATCTTAGTTTAATGAAATTTCATCGGAAAAAAAAAGTTAAATTTATTCATTGTCTAAAAAAGCCTAATTAAGATAAAACTATAGCTAAAACTAAAACAGCTAAATACTAGCTTTTTAATCTAAAAAGTCATATCTAAACAATTTTGTTACAAAAAATCTTTTTTTCTGTTTTTAAATGAAAATGAATGTATATGTTTATGGGGGAAAATTATCATATTCATGGAAGAGGATAAAATATAACTACGATTTGGAATTTTAAACAAGGAAGTATTGCTCATCCTGTCTTAAATATATTCAAAGTTATCCATAAATATTAACCAAACTTTCACTTAACCTGCTTACAGAGTTTCAGCTTTACGAATCTATATCCAGTTTAAAAAAATCTCTTTCAGCCTTAAATATTAAAACAATTTTGGCAGACAGTAGTAGTTTAGTAAAATTGCATTATATATATATATATATATGTGTATAAATGACAGAATGAAAATCAGTACAAATATTTGTTATATTAGTTTTAAATGGAAACTAGTCAAGCGTGGTACATGTTTTAATAAGTATAAAGTTTCAGTCTGAATCAAGTAAAAGTGCATGCAAATTTAATGCGCAGTTTTGACATTATGTAATGCATATAAGTTAAAATTGCTAAAAGCCTAACAATGTTGCAACAAAAACTGCACAGTTTAGTATTTTGATAATGAAACCCCTTTCACTTAACTAATAGAATGTTCCAAAAACTAAAGCAGGGCACTTTCATTATATAAATTCAGCAAGTGCTTGATTATACAGCATCTTAACTTTAAGTTTATTGACTGCAATTGCATTTAAACGTGTGTTATTAGTTTGAAATTTCAGCAGATATACATATGTTTTTTTAAAGCTACATACAGTCAGACTTAGTGGTTTATTTATCTACATAATGAAGGATAACTGAGGTAATTTAACTACATGAGAAATCTAATATATACAAAACAGATTATATTTTCTCTATGAAGAAAAGTAAATTACATATAGAAATTGAGAACTACAGGAATACTTCAAGACATGTAATTACATGCTCTGTTATTTTGCTACTTTTTTATATTTCTAATTATTGATGTTAAAAGTACCTAGGAGTAAATATATTAAATCTTTTACTAATATAATATAAAGTTGGTGTTCTGGTTATATAATATATATACTGATAAATTTGTTTTAAATTAGGTGGGGAAAACAGGGACTCTCTGGATAGCACTTTAAATACAATGATAATGTAGAACAAAATACAATAAACAACAGACTGGACAAGATATTATCCTTGTGAATTAATGCAAATCCATATAGGGATTGTTGAATAGTTTATAATGTTACACTATTTCGCGAACATACATATTATGTTTATTTGTTTTAAAAACTTAACACAAAAATTTAAACAATAAAATTTAATTAAAATTTAAGATTTTAATTGAGTATTATAAAATATGACCAAACAAAATAGTCAAAATCAACATGTTAAAAAAAACAACAACAATGATTAAAGTGACCTTAAAACTGAATTTTTATGTTCAACATTTGCAGGCTAAATTCCGTACAATACACACAAAAATTTACTTTAAAAACATGGCTGTAAACTGAACACCTTAACTGTAAATCATAAAAACTTAGAGTAAAAATAATCTTCTTCTTTATTCATATGCTGTTACATAAAATGTATGTCTCTAACACAAAAGTTACATTATGTTGAACACAGTTTGACATTACACGTAGGATTCTTCTACACTGTTGTTACACACATCACACATATTAACACTATACAAAGGGCAAGTAACTACATCATGGACAAAACACTCACAGTGAATGACAAAACACAAAATTATCTCCCTTAGACACTTACAAAGCCACATGAAGCATTACCTAGCAAATGCATGATCAGATTATCCCATAATTCAACTTTATGAGTTTTGATATAATCAAAATAAGCATTAAAGTGTACAATTTGTAATTATGTTTTTCAATTTCACACATAAATTGGGTAATCAATTACAGGAACGGCTCTACTTATCACGTGTGTCTATTTGTATAACTAGTTTTGTAAAGGCTTGTGAAGTTTAGTTTTTTTGTATTGCAACACATCATAAACTTGAAACTTTAATTAATTACTGTAGCAGACACTTTACATTTAATAAGATGTATACAACCAAAGAATATAGATTTATCTTGGATTGTTTCCATCTTAAATTCACAAGTTATTTACTGTAGTTTATTTAATAAGTTAGTAATATAAACTCAATGTTTTCCATGCAACTAGAAATTTGACCTCATTCAAATTTTAAAATATTTCAAGATATTCATCTGTGAATAAATAGAAAAACTATGCGTGAAGTGTGTAAAACTATAATCTAGATTTACATATCTAAAATTGAAACCTTGTAAAGAAAGACAAAACATTCAGTACAACCGCTACCCATGCTCATGTGAAAGAAAAAGATTTCTATTTTTACATGTTCATGCATTTCCTAGGCATTTTGTTCCCAAATGCACCTGCATCTGCCCTCTTCAGACGAAACTTGGAACAAAATATACTTAACTTTGTACAAATATACATGACTTTTTTGCCTACATTTGTATTTAAATGTAAAAGATCTTTCAAAAGTGTGACAATTTTTACAGTCAACTTATAACATAATGAATTTTGAAATATCCATTACAAACCTAGAATTAAAGAACATATGTATTCATATTAAATGCCAAAAGTTCAATTACATAAATTGCCAATATTCTATTACATTGATTGCTAAAAGTACTAGCACATATATTTCTGAACGTACTAGCTTATTAATTGCCAAAGAAGCATTACATAATCATACTGCCCAATTTTTATAATTTATATTACTTGACACTCCATCATGCATATTTCAAAAGATTTACCATGTTCATTGCCAAAACTTTATCATATATTGCCAAAGATTTATTATATACATTGCCAAATATTTATCCAAAGATTTCTAATATACATTGCCAAAGATTGCCGAAAATATGTTAGGTATATTGCTAAAGATACATTGCCGAAAATATATTAGGTATATTGCTAAAGATTGATCATATACATTGCAGCAAATTTTTGATCACATATTGCCAAAGATTTATCATGTATATTGCCAAAGATTGATCATGTATACTGTCAAAGTTTCGTCAAGAAAATAAGACACATTTTGCCATTACAGCTCATGACTAATATTAGAGAGTGAAATATACACAAATGGACAATAACCTGGCAGGATCGTTACGGCTGTAATAAACGCATAAAATAAACAATGTTAGTTTATCATTTCATAGTCAACAAATGCAATTTTAACTTAAATACATAATTTTTTTTATGTCCTGAACTACCTACAGAATAAACAATTATTACATAGTTATTGAGTATAAAATAAATGCAAAAAGCACTAAGTTGAAAAATGTACCAAATTTGAAAGCATAAAAGATAAAATATTGAGACTGTATGTTTATTAAACCAATCATGAAATCAAGACATTTAAAGTGAAATTGCTATAGCAAACTTGTGAATTTGGATATCCTTATTCTTATAAATTCACCAATGACAATAATTATCAATTTGATTGTCATTTGTGACATATTTTAATCACATTTCAGCCATTTTTTTCAATTTTTTTATTGGTTTAACGTCACACCAAATACAGTATAGGTCATATGGCGACGTTCCAGCTTTACTAGTGAAGAAAGACCTCAGGTGCCCCTCTGTACATTATTTCAGGCACAATCGGGCACCTGAGTAGAACAACCAAGTACTGATTTGTCAATGAACAAAAACACTTTTCTGCCAAAGTAAAGAGATAGCTTTTGAACTGAGACAAAGTGTCATGAACCTTAATATACTCAGAACTAAAAACTCAAATGGCTTATTAACAGTGAGCAAAGTAAACAGGTTATATCATACCTGAAAGAATGAAACTGCCAATCTTTGTCAGAATTTCAAATTTGGTACATTTTATCATACACCATAAAATAATAATTTTTTTTTTTTTTGGCCCTTTAAATTCCTATATACTTGAGAAGCAATCATGCATACACACCTGTCATATAATCCCTTTACTGTGCATTAAAGCTTTGCTAATATCAACCTTAATTTGCATTATTTACCAGTAATTGGTAATTTTTAAGATGAACAAAATCATTTACTTATATTGGTACTTCTATAATATCTCTTGTAGGATTTACAACAGTTTTGCATATATAGCCTTCCTCGTGTATTATGTATAAATCAAATCAAGGTATTAACCACCTAAATAGCAAAAAAAATCATTTTTCTGATTTTCATTCACAAAGGTTACCTTTTATTCTTGATTATTAAACTACAAATTTTTTACCAAACAAAATTATGTTAACTCTCAAGATGAAATAAAACCTAAAAGGACAAAAAAATCTCAATATTCACGACTAGAAATTATATCAAGAGACTAAGGGCATGTAACTCTGTTAGGTAAATCAAAAAATTATTTCATGACCATGACAATTAGTGACATTTTAGATCAGTCCATGCAAAAACAACAAAAATCACGACATCTTGTGATAAATTAAACCTTGCTAACTAAATTTTGAAAATTGCATTCTGTGTGCAAACATGATTGGCCTTCATGCAAACTGAAAAAATCACAGTGAAATCTTGCTTTTCAAATAGGTTCTAGTGATGGTTTTCAAATTCTTACTAGTGATGGAACAAGAATAAATTGAAAACTTGACATAGGTTTAGCTAGCTTCAGCTGTTAGTGTGTAAGTTTGAAAAAAAAAAAGAGTAAAAAATATGGTAATCCAAATCCCACAAGTTAAAGTGACTGCATTATTACAACTTTGAATATCCTACAAGTTGTTTATTCTTTTACTTAATACATTGTGTTAGGTAAACTTATTAAGTTAAAGAATAATAAGATAAAAGTTATTCTATAATATTAATTGATAAAAGTATAAAGAAAAAGTGTATTTTACCTAGCTATAAGATTAGTTCATGTTACTTCATTTATCCTAGATTTACTAGTCTTAAAACTTGTACTATCTTATAGCCTTAGAAGCAGGGTGGACCAAGAACCTCTTTACAAACACAGGGGTAACAAGTTTAAGCCTCATTTCACCACAGGGAAAGACTTTTTTTCTTAAAGGCAGAACCTCATTCCACCCAGAAACAAAACGTTTTTTGTTCAATCTGTCACTGGTATCGTTGGGCTAACATAGAAACAATAGTAAACTAGCATCTATACATGTATGTAAGAGTTATACCGTACACCTTGGTGAGATAAAAAATCTACCCACCTTCTCCGTGACGCTGGTAACCTAGTCTGTATAATCTGTAGGTCTTTCTGTTGGTCTTTTAGCTAAAGTAAAAATAATCAATGACAGAAATTTTACTAGGTTTTTCAAGTTAAAACACATCAATATCATTTTTAACAATACCCATTACAAAACAATAACATTATAATATAATAATGGCAATTGGAAACCCAATCAAACAGTAGCAATATTGAACTGGAAAAATGACATCTGAACTGAGCAAATTTTTTATCTTAGGGAAGTGATTTTAATATGTTATATAAAATGTCTGTGTACAAAAAATATTTCCTAACATATGGTCAATAAAAATTTCCAAAACAAGCCTTTCATAATGTGCATTAAAAAAAATTTGTGATGATTATTTTAATATTTGTGGAATGAAGCATTCCATGCCTAATGCTGGTTTCATGGTATAAATGTGACACTATTTCAAATGTTCACTGTCCCCCAGTGGAGATAAAAATATTTTACTTTACAAAAGGAAATAAAGTAACTGTCTTAAAAAGGGGATGCATTTTGCTCTTCAATACAAGAATTTTTGCTTTGAAGATTGTACAATACAAGCCTCATGCACACAAAAAGTTATGCAAGATCTAGGATAAAAAAAATACCAATGGTGTACAGTTCAAGATAAAATTCACCTTTAAAAAAAAAAGCATTGATGAAAAAAAAACCTTTAAGAAATGCATGATAAAATTCACAAAGGCAATTAATAAATCACCTGACACTTAAGAGACAAATTATGTGTTAAATCAATAAGTCTGATAATTTTATCTTAAAGATGCTTTCAGTAAGGGAATTTACATAATCTTGTAATCCGTGCAGTGTAAACAGCCAGACCTTCTGTTTAACTGCAAGGCCCTGTTTCCCAGCTACATAGATAATGTGCATTATCAAAATGTGCTTTGGAATTTGTAAATGTTTTCTTTACGTAATGCCTGGTAATCCCTAGCCCTACAGTTTATGTAAGTATATAGAGAGAGGGTAATGTAACATACAGATGCCTGTTTTAACTTGAGTTCCTCCAGTAGCTTCACCAATTCTGTATCTGCCACATCGAAAGCTGTCTGGCCCTGAAGTTATAATAATGCATTTATAAAGCATCATTTCGGGCCCTGATGATAAGTAAAACAATAGTTTTAACAACATTGCATCAAACTAAATATATAACAATCTTTTTTTACTATATTTGTTCTTACAATCAGAAATATATCAAACTTTACAGATAAAATACCAGTAAAGCTTGACAGCATGTTAATGAGAAATTTTAATCATTTTGCTTCTTTAAAACATTATACCTTAAGAAGCAGTTGGAAAGCATGAAATCTTTACAATGCCATACTAATAAACTCATAGTTTTACACTTCAAATAACAGCAACATGAACACTCTGCCTAATGTTAAGCATAGTTTGGTCTTTGTATATTTACATGAATTCCTATATAAAGTATATTTGGCTTGCTCTCAGATGATTATATCAGTTCATAATGCATTGGTCTCTAACATATAGATCATAAATAATAGATATATATATCCATTTTTCAAAGTACCACAGTCCAGAGCTTAGAGGAAACCAATTGTTACTGTTATGAAATAGATACAAGCGCAAAACAAAACAAGAGCTGTCTGCAAGACTACACTCTTCCTATTCATCTAAAAGTCAAGCTAAAACTGATTATTATAAACTTACAGCCAGATTCTTTGCCTCCATATCGCACATGTTTTCTGCGAGTATTTTACAAGCTTCCTCCTGTCCCCAGTGAGCTGCTGCATGTAGGGGCGTCCAACCATCTGTATCTTTAGCATTTATATCAAATTCTGCTTGCAGTAACACACTGAAACATAACAGTGGGTTTATAATGATACCAAACCTCATACTTATACACTTGCTCAACATCATCTTCACTTTAAACAACACATGAAACCCTGCCACTATAAGCTTTTATTATATTGTAATCAAAGACTGCTTTTTTCTTATGAATTGGCTTTTCACCTTTCAAAAAGATTTTCACTTCTTCCTCTCCCAAAGACTTGTGCTCCCTTTTTCCTTAGCAAAAAAAAACAAATAGTGATTTTCCCACTTTTAAGGTAAGACCTATATTAACAAAAGGTTTGCCTATAGAGCAAAAGATGGGATTGTTTAAGATTAAACCTGGATAAAAATAACTTTTTTATGCTTGTTAAAATTTAAACATGCTTTGCATCTTTCTGCTCATTACAACAACAACAAATAGGTATTACTTGAATAACATGAAAATAATTTCATCATTTTATGTGTTTGACACATTAGATAATAACAACATCTTCATCCTCTCAATTTACCTTTTATAAACCTTTAAGAAAATGAATCGATGAATGATAAGATTAAAACAATGCACAATGATGGAAACTTTGTCCTCAAATTTCTAGAAATCAATTGTAATGATTTATGAATCCTTTCAAGAAGTTAAGTGCTAATACAATAATATTAGTGTCACATACAAACAGGAAATTACTAACAACTGTTCCTGGATTTTACACCAAAACCAATGTTTTCCAGCTTAAATGTTTTGAAACAAAAACAAAGACTGGCAATTTAATTTCTTAATTTGTTCAAAAAATCCAAGCAGAAACTCAGGTTTAGCCAAACACTTTTTTATCTTTTAAATATGAACTCTTTGACCTCATCAGACAGACAGAATAATTCATTATAATGCTCATATCCTAAATATTAGTTATATAATATCTTGGGTTTAAAAAAGTCTGAATAAAAAAACATTCTGAAAATCCTGAATAACATTGCAGTTATATTTCTATTTAGAAACCCTATATAAATACATATATACAGTCAAACGTGTATTAAGCGACCGGGCAAGGGAAACACCCAAAACGGTCGCATAATGAAACGGTCTCTTAAGACAGTCAGCGTGATATAAAAGTCAAAATTTATAATTGACATCTTTTTTATTCGGTGGAATTGTTTTTCAACGCTCCGATAATCTAAATGGATGCAAATATAAAAAATAACTTTCTGATATTTATTGACAAAACAGTTTCAAGATGCATTACGTACATGTTTGACATTTTTTCCAGAATTTTTTAACTTCTCCGTTGTTTTTCCTTGTCTCCAACACGAAAACCCTATTAGTGAAGACGTTTTCTGTTGTGCATTTTTTCATTTGAAATAAACAAACTACATCTATTTGTTACGATTAATTTAATGGCTGATCAAGTTCAAGGTCAATTCAATGCAGTCTAAATGTCAACAAGCGAAGCGTATACACCATCTCAGTATGGGCGGAGCGTAACATTGTTTATCCGATATTATTGGATAATACACGTCACGCGTATACTTAACTTCATTTGCATACGCTAAAACGGTATGGGAAATAGAGTTTTTCACACATTTATTGTTGTGTTTTGATTGTTGACACTTGTGACTTAACGAGGTGGAGTTCTCTAAAAACACAATTACTTGACAGGTAAAAGTGGTCGTTTAATGAAAAGATTGATGTCAATTAGGTGACTAATTAGCGGTCGCTGGTCGCGTTGAGCAAAAGTCGCTTAATACATTAAAGATATAGAGAGAAAATGATCGGGGGGAATTTAAAGTGGTCGTTTAAGACAAAAGTCGCTTAATACACGTGGTCGCATGGGCAAGTTAGACTGTATAAAAATAAATATGTAAAAGTGTCCATACGTCATAACTTTGACATAGCCCTTTGCTGATGCTACATGAAGAGCAGTGGCCCCTGTTTTTGGGTGTTTAAATTCCTCTATTGACTCCCCTTTTTGTACAGTGTTTAACCACTGGTTAGCATCTTCCATCATGAGATCTTCCTCTTCACGTCTCGCAGCATCCGCATCAACTCCTACAAAACAACAATCTTACATTCAGTGTGTCTTCCTATATCACAGTGATAACCCTCTCTAGACTACAAAAAGTGACATTTAAACAGAAACTATGACATACAAACAGATTACTATTAGAACTTCATACATATATCGAAAATTCCACTTGTCTGCTCGTAATTACAGTAAAATTTAAGATAATTCAATGCAGGACAAGTAGAAAAATGTTGCCTGCACATTGGGTTTGTGAGCTGCAGGATAAGTGACTCTGAAAATAATTTTCCATGCCGGTGTAATATATTTTTTACGCTTTCGTAACATGTATTCATGAAGTCCCTTGACTGATGCTTTCTTTCACTAGTGGTCCCTAGGCTTTTGCCTGTTTTGCATTTAAAGCCATGGTGCCCTTTATGACATTGTATGTATTAACGCTATTTATCCATAGATTCTGACTATATCATGAAGATGTATGTTTGTCTTTTTCATCCATAGAATCCATTTTTTATCATATTAATAATTACAATATCCATGTGTGGATTTATATGATATTTTATATCTCACCCATGTATGACCTTGTCCATGGATATCTGCTTTAACAATATAGTTATTTACCTTGCTCATCCATGGATTCTTGCAACAACGTTTCCATGGTATCATCTTCACATATATCATATGGTAAATCCCCATCATTGTTAACTGCTGCTACATTTGCTCCCTTTCTTAATAAATATCTGAAAATATAAACAGTAATTTCATTACTTAATATGATGGTATTAGTAAGTTTTGCTTTTATATGTATTAAATGGGGGCAGTTTCATGTTTTGTTAGATGAGTAAAACTGTGCATATCTGGCAAATCCTTTGGATTATTCTAAAACTTGTTTTCCCAAAAAATAAGCAAGGCCAAAAAAATAAAACAAAAAAATATATATATTTCTTAACCACCCAAAAACTTAGTTAAAAAAATCAAAAAGGGAAAGTTTTAAATTTATCCCATTAAAAATTAAAAATTTTTCCCTTTTGGGCCATTGTATTTTTAAGTAAATTTACTTTTTCGGGTGGGTTGAAAAATTTCAAAGGGGGGGGAAAAGGGAGATGTAATAAATTAAATTACTGTAAATTTAAAAGTTTTTAATTTTGTCAAAAAAAAAACCCCAATTTAAATTCCCCATTTTTCTGTACCCCTTATTAATATGCCGATTTTCCAATTTTTATGTTTTTTAAAAATTTTTTAAAAGGGACCAGGGGGACCAAAAACTTGTTTGTCATAAATTTTGGTTTGGGTTTTTATTTATAAAACAAGTTTAAAGGGTTTTATGTAAAAAGATAAACTTTAATAAAAGGCCCTTTCTTTCCCAATTTAACCCGGGCCCGACTTTGTTCCCGGTACCCTTTCTCTGTTTAAAATATTTATTCTTTTTAAATTTTCCAGTCCCCGGAAAACCTTTAAGACCTTTTAAATTATATAAATTTTAAAATTTTAAATTTCTACGCTAAAATTTTAAATAAAGGGAAAATTTTGGGGTCTTTTAAAATTTTGAGTAAATTTTCTTTCTGAAATATTTCCTTGTTACTCTTTAAATTTTTTTTGAATAAATTTTTAAGAATGACAAATATTTAAAAGTGACTTTAAATTTAAAATAGAAAATGGGGTTAAATTTCTTATAAAAACTGATTTTTCTTTCTGGGGGGCATTAAACCCCTTCCCCCCTGTAATCTTTCTTAAAATGGACATGGTATGCACTGATATTTTTCCTAATAAACAGACTGCTTTTTCTTTCAGTTTCACATATTTAAAATGTGTTAACACTAATACAGACAAATTTCAATACCAAAATCGCCATAAAAAAAAAACATTGTATATTAATATTTATAATGCACTAAAACCCTACAATATAGTGAGACTGCAGATAAATATAGACATGCCTCGCTCTGCAGTGGGGCACCTAGGAAAGTCAAAATATATCTAAAATATATTGTTGAAACTAATATTCAGTCTTAAACAACAACAACCAATAGAAGAAGATGTATGAGGACTGCCATGGTTCAAATTTTTACCATCATTTTATCTTTTCCCAGTACCATAACTTAAACTATTTTACCCCTGTTATAATTTCAGTTTTTAAGCTCAAAACTTTAAATTTACTTATCACAAGCATCATCTTTCTTCAAGCAAGTCTCATAAAATAGAATAAACATATCGGCACTTGCTCATCTTAGAAATGTTATACATCGATGCTGGGTTTCACAAACGATCAAAACCAGATAATGCATAGAATAATCAATTCAAAATATACATCAAATTGCCTCAAGTACATTTAAAACAAAATCTGCACGATAGCAAAACTGCATATTCCCATTTTGCACGGGAATGTTCTACTGATATATATATACACAGTAAACTGATTGTACTAAACATACTCTTTAACCAACAGGTAGCTCCCACTAGATTGATTACGGAAGCAGTTTACCTATCTGTCATGTATTGAAGAACTTTCAGTTTTCATTTACAATTGAAGAAATGTGTTTTATATCAGAATTCTGAATTAAGACGAGTAGGTAATGAGGAAAAATTGTGTATCAGCCAATTGTTACTCCAGTTGAAAGTTAAGTCAAAAGTACAGGGGCCTGCAGGGAAGGACGCCATGTTATTACAACCTTCCAGCTGTCCCTGCACAGCCAAAGTCAAAACAATCATGTTTGTTTTTGTATTGCAAACAGGACAAGTAGGGATAATACCCTATGTAATGTTCGCAATTAAAGGGTCTTTACCAGTGTTTACCATCTCTGATGGTCCCTAATGCTTAAGGAGAGGGTTTTTTTTCTACAATCAAACGCAGTCCAAAGGGGAAAGAATGTTTTATTGGTTTTGATTAAGTCAAAGCCCCTCCCATCCCTTTTCTTTTGGAGTACAGGAATTTTTTGTTGGTTGGGGACAGGAAAAGTTTTGTATCTGGGTAAAGTCAAAAATAATGAGGCAAAAATTTTGAAAATAGGGTCAAAAAATTGAAATTTTCATATTTCTACTTATTTTCACCTAAAAACCATGTGATATTGATTGATGTTTAATGCCGAGTAATTGGATTTTATCTAAACACAAACACAAAATTGTATAAATCAACATTTTATTTCAACTTATAACAAAAATTAACAAAACCAATGCTTTATAAAATTGTGTCACTATACTCCCAATGTTAATTAAATCATATTGTGTTGTTATATTTTAGTAACAGTAGTGATGTACGGATAAAAAAATATACCCATTTTTTACCAGTAGTTTTTACCAACAGAAAAAAAAAATGCTATTGTTTTGTTACTAAAGTCTGATTTTCTTTAATGGTAAGAAAACATCAAAGTTTTTCTAAAGTTGGAGAAAATTGGGCCAGAGAAATAAAAAAGTAGTTGTTGTATGTATTAATAGTTACTTGATGTAAAATAAAGTTTCCAAATATTTCAACCTCTCAAAAAAAAAATAATAAGCAGTCAAATTTAACTTGTATTTTTATAAAAAGCGTTACACTCCTGACATGACTAGCAATAACTTGTTTAAATGATAATAGTTCTTTACAGAAACATGGGGAGTTTAAAAATTACATAAGAAAACACATGTACAGAACACCACTGATGTTTTGAAAACATACTGATAGGTTTATTAGCATTTGAGAATAATTCTTAGAGCAAAGATATAAAGTTACTACTAAAAACCGCAAACAAGTTTTTAACATGTAAAAACAATTAGCAAAAAATGGAAATAAAAGGTTGTAAACATTAATTAAGCTTCTGTTCCTAACCAATAGGAAAAAATATCAAAATGACCATATGAAGAATCTATTTCACAAAAAAATGCACCAATTTCACTTTAACATTTGAGTGTTACACTCCTGACACATTCAGGCAAGAGACTTAATATCTTTAAATATTGATTTAAAATATTTTTTAATGAAATACTTAAGACAAGTTACTAAGTTTTCTATGTAATTGTTCCTTTTTGTTATATCTTGCCTTTTAAAACACTTTGTTAAAAAATAAGTGACCTTTTTTCAAACCTTACTATATATATGTGAACCATCTGAGTGTAAACATTTTCTTTTTATATATGTCTACTTGCTTTCTACCCCTGGTAGAAAACCATACTGGTTTAAGAGAACATTTATTTAAATAAAAGATAAAAAGAAGCTACAAATTAAAAAACTACATAAAGTACAAACATTAACAGTAACTGTTCAAACTGTGTTACACTCCTGACACAAGATGTGGCACTTGGAACTGTTTATTTGAAAATATATGATTTCTATGATCTTAAGTCATTCAAGTTAAAAATTGAAGCCGTATTCCGCGCCCAGGAAGAAGAATTGTCATTTTGAGTGTCTGAACAATATCTTCAAAGGACTGCCGGGACACATCCTCCTTGGCTGGCCAACTGTACTCGTCAGCACCTCCGCTTGCTTTAAGGAACCTAACTTGGATGTCATCATCTGCCTGTGATATTTACCTATTCAATAAGTAGTTAATATAATTAAATTAATGAAAAGAAAACCCCAATCACATTTCAAGTTCTAAAAATTAGGTCATAAAATTACTGAGGAAACTAATGAAAAGTATACAAAAAACAACATGACCCCAGCAATGTACAGATACGTTCTTCTGTTTGACTTGAGAGCTACAGCTACAAAATTCTTCAGGGTTAAATCTGCAATATGATAATTAAAAGGTTTATACTAACTGTTGTCTTTAAAAGATACATTTCTAAAATAATTGGTTGAAATTCATCCTGACAAAGAACAGAAACATGCTTAATTTATCCTTCTATATAAGATATTATTTTTACTGTCTTACCTATTTAAACGCTGCCAAGTTAACATAATGTTCAATTTCTGGAATGTTACCATCAACCATTGTTGGTATGGAACTGTCTCCATCTCCAATGGTTATGTTAGGAGTATCCCATGAAACATCTATCTTGCAGACAGGGCTTTGCACATATTCTGTAAACACACTTGGTCTGTATCTAAGGTTCCATTCCTTGACATATTTTCAATATATTTGGTTAAGTCACTTGCCAAGATTTGCTCTAATTCCAATTTGTCAGTCTGAAAAATAAAATTGTAAAATTGTATTTTTTTTATTAAACCTATGATTTAAAGATATTAAAATTACAAGTTTTAAATAAAAAAAATTAATAATTAAATGAATTTCAGGCATGACTTTAAAACTAAGCTTGATAAATACCTCTGGTAAGCTTTGCATATGATGAATTACTTTGCTTCTCAACTGAGTGTGACTTTGTTGAGTCATCCCAAGGCATGTAACTGATCACTGCTGGCCCAAAAGAAACAATTGCCGTCATCAGGAGTAGTACCTGGAATCTTCCAACCTTTTCTGCGAATTTTATTTTCAAACTCGCTTAGAGTCTCATTTTTATGCTCTGTTGAGTAGTTATATATATAAGACTCAATGCTGTCTGTAAGCATACCTCTCAGGTTAGTCTCTCTCTCACAATTGTTAGTATTACTAGCTACTACTTTATTAAGGTTAGGTATTAAGCAAAAAGCAGAGCAAAAATGCAGTGTTTTGCAGAATTCAAATGGTTAGTATTTTAAAAGACTAAGGACTACAATAACTGAAAAATTGAATATGTAGGAACTGCATTCAAAAAATGTGATAACAAAAATGATTGCAGAATTAACAGTAATTATCATAGATGAAAAAAAAATTACTGTATGTCTTTATTG